GGACATATGGATGTAGGTCGTCAAAGTAGACTTTGAAGTATTCGAGCGCCTCGGTATCAGAGGGCATAAGCTCCGCCGGAAATTGCAGAGACGAATTCGCGCCGTTATATAGCGATGGCAGAGACCGTTCACACTCTGCCAGAGCAGTCTGCGGTTTTACATGGTCTTTTGACTCTTGATTTATATATGGCGCTAGGAAGTTGTTTAGTATATGATTGATACGAAGTGGGAGCCGAAAAAGGTCTTACCAATGCCAGTTTCGTCTATCTTGAGCTCATTAAAAGCGTTTGTAAGGTCGCTAGAATTCGTTGGAGTCTGTGGAGCTGGCTCAGAGACCTGTATGATGGGCTGAGGCGTTGATACCGAAAAAGGTGGCGGCGGATTTCGATGTACCTGGGCAGATGGTTGTGGCGGTGGTGGCTGTGGGTGTTGAGCGTAGTGAAAGGCGTGTTGCAGCTGTCCGTGGGAAGCATCTACAGGAGAAGGGTTGTAGAACCGCCCATCATCCGTGGGAGAAGTGAGATACTGATGCGGCTGATGTGGTTGCTGTGGTTGCTGCTGCTGTTGGGGTCTGATACAGCTGCGAATCGCTCTCGTAGCCACGCAAGTCTCCAGCCCGTCGTGCTGGTTCGGCTGGATAGTACTCGCGCGCATGAAACGGCTGCGAGGTCGTGTCTATCTGCGAAGTCGAAGCTGCAGAGGCAGGAGCAGGAGCAGGCGGAGGCGGGAGAGCGCTTGATACCGCTGCCGGAGCAGGCTGGGAGAAGTCGAGTATCTGTTCGTGGGCGGCCGGCTCGCTATCCTGGTCGATGGATGGCGGGATGCAGACCAGCTTGAGCCTAGTGCACGCCGAACAGGGCCAGATGTTGGTAGTAGCCGAATCGCACTTGATCTTGCGCTTGCGGCAGCCATTGCAGGCTCTCATCACTGTGAATTGTCAGTCTTTCTCTGTCTTATACGTCTTTACGGTCGTAGGATGAGGCCGGGGCTACCTTTGAGTCGCTTGTGCCTGTTGTGCTCGTCAACGAAGACATAATCTATCACCAGTCAGCGTCCCTCTCTCGTATATCTGCATCTCTGCAAGGACATCAGCCAAAGCTCACTCTTTCGGCCTTCATGGCGCTCCCCGCCCTGGCCGGCGGGCAAGATGGTGCTCTGCATTGCGTATCAGCAGCACCTGGGGCGAGGACTAGACAGGGCGGCGCAATCAATCGCAGTCCGGTAGATAGAACAGACAACGGCACGACGACAAGCAGGAAGCACGAGTGTCTGTCTCTCTGTTATCGGGACGCTGACGTCGCCGGCGGTTGGCTGGTTCAGCTGCAGTTATGTACCTAGGTAGTCGTAGTTATGTAGTTGTAGTTGATGTAGTTGGAGTTCGAGTGTTATTCAAAGGCGAAAAAAGAGCCGCCGAGGAAGCGAAGACGGCAAAGAACAACGACGACAACGGCGGCGACGGCGACGACGAGCAGACAGACGCCAGAACGCTCGAGACGGCGGTTTGTGATACGCTTGGGAGGTTCTTGACCAGGAGGATAAGAAGGACAGAAAGAAGAAACGAGCGAAGTCTTCGGGGGCTTTTTTCCTATGGCTGGCGGAGAGGCCTCGCCCGCTAAAGCAACTGACTAACTAACTAGCAGGAGGCGACTGTGGGCCAGCAGCAGCCAGGTAGAAGAGATCGAGGGAGACGAGAAGGATAAGCGGAAGACGGGAGACGCTGATAGCTGGAGGAAGGCCGGGTTATCCTGCGATATCGTCCTGTCCGGCTGTCTTCATCCTTCGTACTAGTTACTGCGGCTTCAGCATCTTCGCAGCAAAACGACCGCAAAAAAGCACCAAGGACTGCGAAACCTTCAGCCCCTTCCAGAAGCCAGACGAAGGCGAGACGAAACATAAAAGACAAGCAGGAAAGGCGAGCCTGAGAGGGACAGAAAGACGACACGGAAAAAGAAAAGAAGCGCCGGCCATCTGCGGGACGAGGGTCTGGAGGGATAGCCCAGTCGCGCTGAGAGCATACAGGGATAGTCCAGTCTCGACGAGATTGATATCAGAGAGGAAGAGACGAGGGAAGACTCAGGAATACTCCGTACAGAGCCAGGATACAGGATATAGCGAGAGAGGATGCAGAACTCGAATCCAACGCTGCTGAGCGCGGCTGACCTGCCCAGCAGAGAGAAGAAGGGCGCAGAGTCCAAGGTCCAGGTCGACAGCATCTTCACCACCGAGTCGACCTTTGATCCCTTTGCCAGTTATCGTGAAGATGACGAGGAGGAGGATGGGAGCAGTCAGGATGGCAGCAGTGCCAGCCAGGACGAGCTCGAGGAGCCCATTGACGAGCAGGAGATATTCGGTATGCCTTCTATCATCTACCGTCTATCTACTGTCTATCTACTATCTAGTGGGTTCTAAATTTACATCTACCAACACCTACTGACCGATACAGACTTGATAGCAACGATATCTGACCCCGAACATCCGATTCCGCTGGCTGAGCTGGCCGTCGTCTCGCTGCAGGACATCAGCATCACTCCGGCACTGCCGCGCTCGCCGTCGTCCCCTCTCCGCAAGGTCACCGTCCTGCTCACCCCCACCATCACCCACTGCAGCCTGGCCACTGTTATCGGGCTTGGAGTGCGCGTCAGACTGGAGCAGGCCTTGCCCCCACGGTTCAGAGTCGACGTCCGGCTCAAGGAGGGCTCGCACAGCACGGCAGACGAGGTCAACAAGCAGCTGGCAGATAAGGAGCGGGTGGCGGCTGCTCTGGAGAACCAGACGCTCATGGGCGTCGTGGGGAAGATGTTGGAGACCTGTCGATGACCTGGGCTTCATCCTTCCCTGGCATGACGGTGACTATAATAATAATGAGGGTATATTATGGGGCGGAATGGCATTTTATCATAATGCAGACAAGGGTCTTGAGGCAGCAAAAGCAGGCAGAGACAGGCAGAGACAGGAGGGGAGGAGGACCGGAGTACCCAAGTATATGTGAGTAAGAGCAGCCATCTGCCAGTCATATCCCCTATTATTATTCTTCTTTTTCTCTTATTTGTTATTTTTATCCCTTTCTTTGCTTCTTCTGCACATCAATTCTATCTTCCCTGTCCGCCACTGACCAGTACCCAGGAAAGGACATCAGTTGACTCCCTTTGCTTTTGATTTTTTCTCTTTTCCCGTCTCCGTACTTCTTCGTTATTCCACAGTGACGGGTTCGGGATGTTTTTTCTTTGCTTCTTCCTCCTTGCCTCTGCCCCTGCAGGACCAGAGCAAGACACAAAACGCAAAACGCAAAAACGCAAAAAACGCAAGATGTGCCCGCTGGCGTACTGGACTCGTCTATCTGGCTGTCCGCCTGGCTGCCTAGCTGCTGCATTGGAGGGGCGGCTGGACGTTTGTTGGACTGCTGGACCTGCTGGACTGCCGGACTACTGCCTGGCTATTGTGTCGTCTGCCGGCCGTGGAGTATAAACGATGGAGTTGCTCCGTACTGGCGAGAGCAACGGCTCCAGTTATGCTCACGCCTATCCACCATTTGTGCCCTCTCCCACCAGCCGCCAGCCGCCATGGGCCCATGATTGATGATACATCGTATATATTTATTGAGAAGAAACTCCAGTCGTCGGGACTATGGACACCCTCAGTGGCGTCTTACCGTGGTAGGCAGTTCGACCATTACCCGGACTCAGTATCACTCCCCAGGCCTCCCGTACGCCGTGCAGCGCAGGTTGCATGTCCTCAGTGTATCCCTCGCTGCCTCGTCCTGTATATATATCAGCGTCTCGTCTGCCTCATCGTCTGCTCTCGTAGTTACTGCAGGGTTTATATATTTAGTCAGCCATATAACTCGCCCTTGTATATGCACAAAATGGAGATCGAGAGAGAAAAACTCGACTTCGCTTCTCTCCTGCTGCACCGGCTCTAAGCCTCCTTGTCTCTCTCTTCGTCTGCTCTGCCGCTCTCCCTGCATGGCTGTTCGCCTGAAGATGCCCTCGTCCGTTGCAATCGTGACTGGCGGCGCCGGCGATATTGGCCTGGCCATCGCCCGCAGGCTTAGCGACTCCCACGACAAGGTGGTGATCCTCGACATCGACAGCAGCAGACTCGACGCAGCCCTGGCGGCCCTCAACGACAGTGACAAGTTCGACCGATGTCTCTGCGACATCACCGACAGCAAGCAAGTAGCAGAACTGCCTCGCCGCATCCTGGGCCAAAGAGGCGAACAAAATGATGCGGTGGTGCACACGCTGGTCAACAACGCCGGCGGTTCAGCAGCCTACAGCCTCCACGAGACGACGCCCACAGCCTGGCAGCGAGAGACCGCACTCAACCTCGATGCAGCGTTCTTCTGCTTCAGCGCCTTTCAGGACGACCTCAAACGCTCGCGGGGATCCGTCATCAACATCGTCTCCGTCAACGGTCTCGCCGTCTACGGAAACCCAGCCTACAGCGCCGCAAAGGCTGGCCTCATCCACCTCACAAAGTCCATAGCCGTGGAGTATGGCAGATACGGAATCCGGGCCAACGCAGTAGCCCCAGGGACGGTCCGGACGGCGGCATGGACGGCCAGACAGGAGGCTAACCCACACGTCTTCCAAGATGTCGCTCAGTGGTACCCGCTCAACCGTATCGTCGAACCGGAGGACGTGGCGAATGCGGTGGCTTTCCTGGCCAGCGAGCAGGCCGCTGCTATTACGGGGATCTGTCTACCTGTCGACTGCGGTCTTACCGCGGGCCAGACGGCCGTTGCTCGAACTATAACGCAGTCGGAGCATTACTAGAACTCTACACTGCAAAAAGGTTCTGGGGATATAAAAAGCTTGCTAGCTTCGACGGCCATCAAGAGCCGCTAGTCTACCAACATATAACTATATCTCTTCTCCCTGGACTCGGGGGGCGGGCGGGTTGACTCGAAATGCAGAGGCAAGCGCACAAAGTCAGGGGCAGGAGGCAGAGCAGAGGCAGAGGCAGAGGTTTAAGGGATTCAGCTGAAAAAGAATACATACCTCTTATAGCCTCTCCGGAGTAAACTATGGACGCTCACTAGATGCGTCCGTTTGCTATATATCATGCGCACCACATGCCTTTGCCTTTACAATAAAAACCCCAACCCAATCAATAGATTAACCCCCTTATCGTCCCACAGCCCTTGTTATGGCACTCGATGTTTCCTCCTGCCGGTGCATCGTGTGTCATATATAAAAAAAAAACCAGAAGAAGAAGAAAGGGAAAAAAAATCCACGTCCTTCTCCCTCCCCCTTTTCTCCCTACCCCCTTCTCCCTCTTAACTTCATCTAAAAGGAAAAGAGAACTATCATAACTCACGGGAATGACCATGGAGTCACCGTCGACTCCGGGCATCCTTGTTTTGTTTTTTACCACCCCTTCTCTGTCCGCCTCTGTTCTCTTTTCCTTTTGATATTTTTGTCTTCATCCTTGCCTGGGACCCCCGACCTTGCCAGTGGAAGAACCCTTGCCCGGCAAGCAACCGAGCCGAGCTGCAGATGCTCTCCAACCGTTTCCGTGGAGCGGAAGGCGACACGATGGAGGATCACGATGAGGCCAAGTCGTCCTACTCTTGCCGCCCCTAAGTTGCCCAACTGTCCCGCCTCTGGGCCGGGACTAGAATCCTTCCTGCAACCCGCAACCTGCATCCTGCTCCCATACCCTGCCGTCCCTGGAGGAGAAAAAACCCCGAGCGTCGAATTGCCGTTGCCGTGTTCTGTGCCTTTGCCGCATATTGCTCTTTCATGGCCGCCCTGTGTCCCGTCCTGCCCCCCCTTGCCTTGTTTTTTGGTACTTTCTTTACAGATATACGTTTTACTCTATGCTTTCTATGCCTCGCATGCGTCGCGCGCTCCCGTCGACATCCCCCCCTACACTTTATTGTATCGAATTTAAACCAGGCAGTGGACGGACGGGCACAGGCAGGCATTACGCGTAGAGCATAAGGCACAGGCAGGTATAGGTAGACGTACCTTACCAGACCTCTCCTCATCCCTTACGTACTGATGTTGTGATTACCAATTTAACATATCCTTGATCCCTCAGACTTTTGCCCACTGCAGACGTGGCAGTTATTGGAATATGGCGTGAAGAAGTTAAATAGTTATAGATCACATAATATCAAGGGTTTGGTTTGGTTTGGTATAAATGCTACCTTGGCCCGTCTGTAGTATGAGAGATATCATCGATTCGCCAAACATAATAATAGGTGTAATCTAGTCTACGTCTACGGCTATGCCGAAGGGTCAACAGGTAGTTGCATGCTGTCGCCCGAACATTGGATAACAGCATAACGTGGTGAGATGCAGCTTGTTTGTTACTTTTCGCAACAGACGCCCTGCTTGTCACACTCAGGCGTTGCTTGCCTATCATTGTGCTACTCTGTCGGACGTTTTTGGCGTCTTGTCTCGGGAAAGCAACAAGTAAGCTACCGTATTATATCGATTGATCCCCTTTCCATCGCTCTTCAGTCAGCCATAGTAGCGCTGGTTATGCAGTGTCTCAGACAGCAAAGCAGTACAACCTCGCTTCCCATTCTAGGTAGGGCTTCAATACTGCAATTTTGATAACACTGGTGTATATCACCTATTTAGGACATAGTTCAACAAACGAGTTAACTCTCTACACTTATTTATGCTAAGATTCAAGGGTCCTCTTAATGCAACGTTTTGAGGTCATATCTGCAATTGCTACCCAAAAAATATGCCAGCAAAGCATACCACTAGCCATTAACGTAACTGGCTATTTGCAGTATGTTGTACACGTTTCTTTTCGGGATCTTCTAACTCCTAGACATCCATGGTGTTGGGTTGGCTAGTGGTCGTAAAGGTCTATAAAAGGGGTAATTCCGCCAGCACCCTCGCTGTTCGGGTTTCTCTAGCATTCCAACTTGGAGCAAATATATACACAGTTACAAAACTTGATTTACTCAGCATTGAGTGGTATAGAGACTACCCTATGCTGAACCGACTTTTACCTTCAACTAACACTTGAAGTAAAGGTTTACCTACACCTTGATTTTCTTTGTGAAATTCGCACCATCTATATAACCAGCTACTATGAAGTTTTTCGTGATTCTTGGTATAATCTGCGCCATGGCCCACGCTAGACCAACATTGGTCTCCGAAAAGCCAAGATTTGGCTGCGTCCCTTGTCAAAATCAACAGCAGCGGTGCTGTGATACGGAGCGTTTCTGCTGGGTTCGCGCTTGCGACACCTCCCCAATTAATGGCTGGTGAGTGGCCCATCTTCATATTGTTTAACGAACGTTAAGTGCTAATTATGTCTAGAAGATAAAATTCGGTTCGAAATAAGATTACTATATTTTATTGACGGCTCGTTGACTATTGAACGAGTGATGAGAGCCATATGGGAGGAAGTAAAACTTGCTATAGCGAAATTCATTGTGTTATTCATCATATGTATGGGTTAGGGGCGTGTTATTTTATTTATAAAGCAACCAGTTTGTGAGATATCAAGTCAAGATATACTCCATACACTCAAATGCTTCCTCGTTTTGCAATTGAATATTTCCATCAACAGTTGAAGTTTGATTGACATCAAAGGGACGAATGATTGAGTGGAAAGGAAATAAGGTTGGCGTCTTCGGATAACCTTATAACGCCATGGCTTCATACCGCCTGCTTTTTATTGGTTGAGACTCCTGGCCAAGCGCTCAGCCAAGCGCCAGCCGCGTCATTTTCCTTTTCAAGGTTTAGCGTCTGGCTCTAACGCGAGCGGTATAAGGCTTGGCATCACGCGTGCTGTCTTCATGACTTTTTGTTCGTGCACCTAAAATACGAGGCGCTGAAGTCAAGGAAAGACCCCTGCATCACCACGTTACTAAAGCTCTATATAAGTAAGCAGGAGGATCCATGCCCGTCGCTCACATGTCCTTGTCTGCGTGACAACGACTTCCCAGGGACCGAAGGAACAACGATGCTCCTCCCAGCTCCTTTGTCGAAGTACGTAGCGTCTCTCAAGTCGCTGAAGCGGAAATGGCAGGGCCACGCTGCTTCACGGCCCGAGGATGATACCAAGTCGCTTTTTACCAGGCTAGTTACTGTCTTTCTGTCTACCTGGGACCTTGGCTTTACGTCCTTCGGAGGTCCACCGGTGCATTTTCGCATCTTCCACCAGAGATTCGTCGAGGGTAAAGGAGTCAAGGAGAAATGGGTTGATGAGCAGACTGTGAGTGCCTATATACGTCATTTTTTTAAACACCCGAAGGTCCTGCTTGCATGGGGCTAATCGTATTTATAGTACCAGGAGCTCTTCGCAATCTGTCAGGGACTTCCAGGACCAGCGAGCACAAAGTTGCTCTTTTGCATTGCATTGCTCCATGCAGGATTTCTTCCAGCTCTCCTTGTATTCTTCTTGTGGTGGTAATGGCTACATGCTCCGATATTCATACCCTAATAATGCCTTTAGCTCACTGATTCTAGTCTTCCTGGCGCAATTGGCATGTATGCTTTCTCTCTGGGTGTTCAGCGAATCGGCGAGACTCTTCCGGCACCCGTTTATCCGTTACTATCTGGACTAAACTCATCTACCGTGGGAATCATTGCTCTAGCAGCAGTACAGCTAGCGGAAAAAGCCATCAAGGATAAGTTGACTCGCATCTTGGTGACCCTTGGTGCTTGTGCCGGGCTATGCTACAATGCATTGTGGTATTTCCCATTGCTAATGGTCCTTGGTGGAATGGCCACCGTTATCTGGGATGGATGGCTGTATCAGAAAATTCGTAGCTTCGGGCAGAACCGAAAGAGAAGGAATACCCACCCCGAAGCTGCGGAGGAAACAGTAGAGCCGCAGAGCGTTCACACAGGAGACCGGCAAGGCCATGCCAATTCCAGTGGGCCAGAGGACAGTGCTCAAATGAGATCCCGCAGAACAAACACTCCGGGGGCTAGCTTACAGCACGATGGGGCGGGTCCTCTTTCTGACCCTAATCAACCTGCTAACTCGCAAAAGCATGTTATCCGGATCAGATTTGGCATACTAATAACTGTGCTATTCTTTGGTAAGCCTTGTTAATTGCGTATTTGCGGAGAAAGAAGCTATATATACTAACGATAGCTATAGCATCGTTCATAGGCGTTCTGGTCGCCAGAGGAGTTCTTCGCGCTCCACCCTTGGCCCTCGACCTCTTTGCTAGTATGTACCTTGCAGGAACTGTGATCTTCGGCGGTGGCCCTGTTGTCATTCCACTTCTGCGATCATACGTCGTCGACCCCGGTTGGGTGTCAGGCCGAGACTTCCTTCTTGGACTTGCTATCATCCAGGCATTCCCCGGTCCGAACTTCAACTTCGCCATCTTCCTCGGTGCTTTAGCCCTACAAAAATCACAGTTCCCGACCATTTTCGGCGCTATTCTTGGTGGTTTGGGAATATTCTTACCTGGAATCACCTTAGCTGTTGCGTTCCAGAGCTTCTGGGCAGTGCTACGAAAGAGAAAATGGTTTACAGACTTTCTTCGCGGAGTTAATGCAACCGCTGTTGGATTGGTTTTCACTGCGGTTTACCGCCTGTGGGAGATTGGTTATCTTACGTCCCAAACTTCCAATGGGCAGAGCTTAGGCAAGGAGCCGTGGTGGGTTGTTATAGCTGCTGTGACTTATGTTGAGAGCGCATGGTTTGGTATCCCGCCACCAGTCGCGATTATGATGGGCGCAGTTCTCGGTCTTTGCTGGTACGGTGCCGTTGGACGGTGATCATAGTTCCTTTCTGGCATCTAAATGATGCCTAAGGTAACTGTAACTATAATTATTTGCTTAATTTTTTGCAATCGCTCAATGTATATCTGGGTGGGGCCATATAACTACGAGATCAACACTGTTGTCAACAATCGATTGCGTATTAACTCCATCATTAGTTGTGCATTCATAAATAAAAACCAGTGCTTCCTTTTTATGTAAACTCTATGTAATGTTGCAATCATGTTTCGCCGAGGAGACCGCTCTCCTTCAAGCCCTTCCAAAGCTCCGGCTCCAAAAACTTGCTAACGGTTATATCTTCTGCAAGACCTTTTCTTCGGCGAGTTTTGAGAACAAAGTCTCTGGCAGTTGCCATGGCACTTGCCATCTCCAGTGGCCTGAGCTTTATGTCTCTGTCCAATGGATCTCCCGGCACAACACTCCATTTGTCAAATACTAAACTGACGGTGGCCTGACCTTGGGTATGGATTCTGAGATCGGTTTCGAATCCGAAAGAATCAATGACTGGAATAAGACCTCGCACAGAGTAGAGAGGGGTTCCGGCGATAGGACCATCGGATAAGACATGTCCACGTCGTCGAGAAAGAACAGTGTATATGGCAGCAACTGAGTCTGGAGGTCCCGTCATGGAGCAGGTATAAATGGGCTCCATCAATCGGGGAGAGGCCATCAGGAAAGATGAATAGACGACACGACGAGTGGCCGGGATGATCTGCCCACCACCTCGAGAAAACGCTTGGTCTGCTAGCTGGATATCTGTAAGACGGAACTTGGTGTTTCGAATGGCTAAGAAATGAACACATTGTTAGCAGTCATTATCACGTAAGGGAAAATGGGCTCAAAATGCATAATTAACTCACGTTCTTCACACAAGGGACCCTCTCTCGTTCCCCAGCTGAAGGCCTGCCGGATGAAGTCCCTTACTGATCCAAGCTGCTTTTTGTCTACCTTAGAAGGCAGTGTGTCGTCTTGAAGGATATTTGGGCCCATGTCATCAGGGCCAAAGGCCCAAATACTCCTCGATGCTAATTTATCCCAGTCATATTTTTCTTCAAAGAATTGACCAACTTTCCGAATCGGGTCGTGAATGTTGACCCGGCCACTTTCGATATCCTCGCTAATACCGTCGTCGAGGGGCTCGGCAATCATAGTGATTTTATTCTTGGTATTGGCGGTGATGGAGTAGCACATAATTGCAGAGGTCTCAACCACCGTTTCACAAAATCTTGTCACAGGATCTGATACCTTGATTTCCATCTCCGCGTATAGTCGACGGAGGTCGTGAAGAACACAGTCCATGTAGAGCTCACCTGTTCCAAGTACGATATGTTCGCCTGACTCCTCAACTCTAGTTGATATCAGAGGGTAGCTCTTGTTGACCTTTCGAAGTCCTTCAAGCATTTTAGGTAGCTCGGATGGATTTATGGGTTCAACAGCAACCTTGAAAACAGATTCTGTCATATGCTTGATAGGCTTGAAGATATATGCTTCCTCGTCATCTTCAAGTGTCAATGGCACAAGAGTTGCCGTTTTGATAATGGAATTGTCTACTCCGCTGAGGAGGACCCAGTTACCCGCCGGAACGCCACTTGTCGGAATGTTATAGCGAGACTCGGCGATGAACGTGTCAGAAATAGTTGCAACGACCATATCCTCATTATCATCTACTGTATATCCTTCTCCTAGGACCCTGACTTGTTGGCCTGCCCTTGCAGTTCCGCTCATGATCCGTCCAAAGGCATTGAACCCAGCAGCATCCGGCGTCCCATACAGTTTAGTGACATGCACAACCAATGGGCCATCCTGGTCACAGGATTCCATAGCGGCAGCAACTTTAGTGTCCCGAGGTCCAGTGTAATACCTGTCCAGTTTTTTGCTAGCTCCTTCAACAGGAGAAGGAATGTGCTGAACGACCATATCGACAAACCCAGTAACAGGGCCAAAGAACTGGGCGCAAACCAGTTTTAAAAGCACCTTTGCATCTGATTTAAGCTGCGAGGGCTTCAAGTTGATCCCAAGCGTTGCTAGCGTGTCTTTCAGGTCTTCGGGGCTCTCGCTAATGGTGTGCGAGTAAAGCTTGTAGATAGGTTCAAGGATGAAGTGGACAAAGGATCGTTTCGATTGTTCCTCCATACCTTTGCGTGTAAACTTCCGGCTGCGGGGATTGAAGAAGATATCACCCCATAGCCTTACAGCAAACTCGGAGAGATCAACTTTTGCGTACGTGTCCGCATACATCTTCGCAAATGACTGGAGAGTAAAACACCAGTTCATTGAGGCGCAAGCGAATGCAACATTGCCCTTTTCAGGACTGAGTCGTCTCTTTTCACCTTGCCCAGGTATTGTTTTCTCAATAATAGTGTTTACTTCTTCAACCACATGTTTCAGCTTAAAGTAAGCATCAGTGGGCGGTAGTTTTAGTTCCAGTATAAGTCGGTCCACTTTGTTAACAATCAAAGTAAGTGGGAGGTCCTCTAATACGGCGTGCTTGATGATTTGTTCTGTGTTTATCTGCACACCCTCAACGACGTCCACAACAAGCACTACTCCATCTACTAGTCGCAACGATGCGGCGACCTCATCCACGAAGTTGACATGGCCAGGGGTATCTATTATGTTGAAAAGATGAGATTTTCCTTTAGTTCCCTGTAAGACAAGGCTCATTGGCGCAGATTTAATCGACAATCCACGCTCTCTCTCTAGGAAATGCACATCTGTGTATCGTAGCTGCTCATCCTTGGCTTTGCCGGTTCGCTTGTCAAGTTTCTCCGACAAGTCATGTGTTTCCATAACCAACGTATCCATAAAGGCGGTCTTGCCATGGTGTAGATGGCCTGCCAGAGCTATATTTCGTGTTTGGCTGGGATAGTTCAATAGATCTGTCATGAACTCTCGCGAGTAAAAGACCGGGGGTAGGTCTGCTTCCTGGACAGCAAATTTCTTCTGTTGAACTGGCGCAATAATTGGTTGCGTCAGTGGCTGTGTATCCTCCTCCTGTACCTTCGTTTCCACATCTGTTCCATAAACTTGTTGTGCGGTTGGATAATACTGTTTGTCTTCATGAAGAATAACTGCGTTTGATGGACCCTGGTCTATAAGATAGGGAGCTGGTTAGCCATAGGAAGCCAAACCAAACTAGGGGCATTTCCTTTCCTACCGTCTATCTCCATGAGCTCCTGGCCATGAGCAGCCGGAGCCTCCACCTCTGATTCAAGGTCATAATCGAATTGCTGTGCTTCAACACCACCGGGCTGTGATTCTTCCTCTGACTCTTCTCCTCCGATATAATTACCGAACCTGAGGAGACAATTAGTTTACCATCCATTTGCGCATAGCTAAACGAATAGCCATATATCAATATACAGCTTATATCCCATTCTAATTGAAGGACTTACTCGTCATAAAGGTCATCCATGATGGGCTGGCACGCGATCGCAAAGTCCCAGCCTGTAGAAGTGTGCTAACAAGATGCCGCGGAGGTCCGTTAGTGGGTAAGGGGTATTTCTAAGCTCCTTACTTGACACCACTAAACATGAAATATGACAAGATTGTTATGAGTGGCCGCTGGGCAGAGCTCTGGATGCTCTCTGAATGAGATATCCTCGCGTTTATCAACTTCGACTTTCTTCTTCTTTTTAGAATCTGCGCCAAGACATATTAAGCTCAAGACCTCGTAGTTGGGTCACGTGATGATTTCTCGGCCTGGACGACTACAACTTCTACAACGTCACAAATAACAACATCCAGCATGTTGTATGTTCAAAAAATAGGAGCCATAATAGAGAACAGAGCTGACATATGCACAAAGCGACTGGTCTCGCATTGACGAGTTTCGATGTTATTTGATAACCCATTGATGAACTGTGGATAATGCGGCCAAAGGAAGCGTATGCGCCTCAAAGATGGAGGTGTCAATATACCCAGAAATCTCCTCGCCTATGAGATGTATTAATCTGCAATTTTCATTAGTTGCATGCGTGATTACAGCCATGTATATCACAATTAAGCCGGCAAAAACACTCCGAATTGAGCTGAGAACAAGAATCGAACCGCTACTGCTGAGATTATAGCACAAAATATATCGCGGTTTGTAGACGATGCCCGAATGCATAGCGCAGTGGGGAGTCGCGCGAACTCACAAGCCCTTTAAGGACCTTTTTTATTCACTGCTCCTTTCAAACGAGCCAGTACTATATAAAAATATGAGGTGGTAAAGAATTCGATGAAAATTCGTTAGGAGATACCTTTCTGAACTGAGGGTGTAGACCCTCCCCCAAGTGAACGAGAGTTTCCTAAGTATCGTCATGAAGGGTTCAAAAATCGCTATTTTCCTACTTACCAGTGCAGTGTCCGCTAGCATACATGGCACAAAACCTAACGGCCCAAAGTACGCGGGTACAAACCCAGACTGTACGTGGTATCTAGACCTTGTCGACGATAGTTATACCTGCGAAAATATCGAAAAACAATGGGAGCTGAGCCATGAGGTTTTTGTGGCATGGGTAAGTCAGTCAATGCTTGAGCCTGTTCGAAGAAGTCGCAGAATTTGTGTCTAACGGAAAGATGGTAGAATCCCGGCGTGAAAAAGGACTGCAGTGGGCTTCAAGTTGGCCTCTCAGTTTGTGTGGAAGCACCAATGAAATCAACTACTTCAACTTCTACGTCAGCGACTCCCACTACTTCAGAAACATCGAGTGCATCGCCCACCGCCACCGGCCCACCGTTACCATCCCCAACTCAGGATGGTTTGGTGGGAAACTGCACAAAATTTCATCGGGCAGTCAGCGGTGATACTTGTAGCAAGATTTTATCCAAATATCAGCCTGTAACTTTGGATCAATTCATTAAGTGGAATCCGGCACTCGAGAAGGACTGTTCGGGGCTTTGGTCTGGCTATTATTACTGTGTTGGCATTCCCAGGATACCCAATGCGCCTCCAAAGGGCATATCAACTACCACCACTCCAAATGCGACTGTAACTGCGGCCGCCCCCGGACGGACTCAGGATGGTATTCTCAGTAACTGTCGGCGGTGGCATAAAGTGGTATCGGGTAACACCTGCACAAGTATTACCGCACAGTATGGAACGTTCACTCAGGAAGAGTTCATCAAGTGGAATCCAGCCGTTGGAGAAGACTGCTCTGGTCTCTGGCTGAACTACTACTACTGCATTAGTAGGACCCCATCAATGGATGAACAGTGCTTTCAAACTAATCTGTCTTGTATAGGTATACCGGGAACACCTACAACAAGGAAGTGCATGCCTAGTCCAAGCCCTACGGGCTGTCGAAGTCCTGGCCTTCCTTCCCCCACTCAACCTGGTGCCATATGTAAATGCAACAAGTGGCACCAGGTCGTTCAAGGCGATAAATGTGACACTATCATCCGAAAGTATCGAATTTCGTTGTCCAAATTTATGGAGTGGAACCCTAACGTTGGAAAAAATTGTTACGGCCTATGGCTTCGGTACTATGTTTGTGTTGGGGCAAATTAATGCTGGGCAGAAGAATCGGTACTCCGTAGGAAGTACGCAGCAAGTGCCTGTTAGATATTTCAATCTGGAAGCCAAAACATGTAAGAAACCACGCCGTTATCATTTCTCTTAGAGGGTAAGGGCACCACCATTTCTAGCACTGTGCATTGTAAACACCCGACGGGACTCTCTTCTCTAGCCAGTTTCTGTATCGCTGACTAGACCACCCAATCACCATCGATTCAAACGAGGAAAGCAATGGAGATTGTATAGGAAAAAAGGTCTAAATTCCCAAGGTATCCTTGGGTAATATGTACAAGTCTAGCTAAAGTGGATATCCCAACAGTATATAATGATAGGCCACTGGGTAATCATCTTCTAAAAATACAGGTGTACCCTAAAAGGGTTCGCGAGCTCCGCAATATTACCATCAACCACGCGGTCAAAGTACCCAGGTAATCATTTATTCTAAGTCTTGGATTGCCTCGTTGAACGCGTTGATAATTGGATCATATAGCGTTTCCGACCTGACCGGCGTTCCGGTGAGAATATCACCTTGATGAAATCGAAATAATATCTGCCGCAGCTCTCTGCAGAGCGGCTTCACATCCTCCAATTCAGGTGGAAATTCCAACAGCAAATACTCGAAACCTTTAGCACCCATACGGCCGGCCTTTGCATTAGCAATATCCTCGAAGCTCCCTGTATACCATTTTCTTAGCAGGCTCTCCTTCGGCATGTCTTTCAGGGAGCCTAAGCGCTTCCAGCTACTTCGGGCACACTGCCAGATGAGCACATAGAAAAACGATTCAAGATCGTGGCGATAGGTATGATCGATATTACGTAGCACTTCGATCGCCATGAACTCCATCGTGCCTGTTTGGTGGCGAGCACCAGTTCTCCCACTATCGAGCTCCTTCGCGAGATCAAGGTCAATCAGCATGCCTGAGTAGCCATTGGTGATACTAGGATCGGTGATGATGATGTTATTCTCTGATATATCTCTGTGTAAGATTTTCTCCTTGATGTACAGAGAATGATGCGCTTTGATCGCATCACGGAGTGCTAGGAGCAATTCTTCGAGAGAATCAAACTGATGGATTGCTTTGCCGGCCGGGGATATCACCAAGCAGCGCAGGACTCGATTTTCGAAGGGGCCATCTCCATGTGGAGTAAAGACTGGCTTTCTGAGTCTCCTCCACAGAGACTGCTACTTCGTTTTTTTCTTCTGCTGCTGCGCTATCTAACCGAAGGTTGCTCGACCTTGAACGTTTGAGAGATTTGGCTGCAGATTGAGTAGAGTGCTTTCTCTTCCTCGAGGAGCCTGAGCCTGAAGATGAACCTTTGGCGATGCTTAAGCCCTGGAGCTTCGTGGACGATTTGGACCGCTGGAGCTGTGGCTGAAGTTGGGAAGAGGACGACGTGCTTGGTGGTGCTACGTTGCGAAATTGATAAGCTTTCTTAAATATTCAAGGCCTTCGCGCAATTCTGCAATGCTTGTGATGGATCTGTATCTGATCACCCTGGCCACACCCTCTACCTCGCGTTGACGCGCTAATCGAAGAAGATTCACCTCGGGTTGTCGTCGGGCAGAAGTCCAGGAGAATTTGACAGCATCCTGTGACTTAGAAGCAGCATATTTTTTGGTTCGATAGCAGCACGTTCCGCGGCAGACCACCGCCAGCTGAACTGATAAGGGCATCGATTCTAGTCGCAGCGGCTCCTTCTCACCAGTGTCAAGATCCTCGACGGAGACAGTTCGCGTCCCGTCGTTGTGTAGCGTGGTGAATGTATCTAGACCCAGCTCATCATCGCTCATCAGCGTGTATCCGATAATTGCACAGAAGAACCGTTCGGGCTCGTCACAGATATCAAAGGAGTCAGAGCTGAGCTGTATGGGCCCGATCGATCAGTCACCCACATCTCCATCTCCGTTCCGCAGAGAGTGAAGGAGTGAATGAATGGACGGGTCGGCTGGGCGGCGAAGACGTCTCATACATACCGCTCTATCTGAAGGAGCGTTCCTTTCTTGTCGTAGTTTGACTGCTTAAGTTCGCCGACAACGCGTATATCCTTCCAGCTATGTGTTGGCACAGCGTTCTCACCAGTTCGCACCCTCATCAGCACGTCTACCTGGCGGTCAGCATCAGAGTCTTTGATGCTCTTTTTGCCTTCAGTAGAGTAATATATCCCACGGGTTTCCATCAAGAAGGTGTCCTGTAATCGGAACCACCAATCTAGAACATCATCTTGAATTGGCGGATCGGGGAAATCCGATAGTCCAGTATCGTCTTGCTTCCGTATCTTCTTATAGATATCGATGAACTTCTCTTCCCAACTTGTATTTCGGAAATACTTCGCATCAAATCCCCCAACATCTTTGTGTGTGCATGACTTGATCTCGCCAAAGATCCTCTCTTCCACCAGCTTGCGAGTTTGCTCGTTACCGCGCCGGGAGGACAACGTCGATCTCCAAGGAGCCTTTTGAACCACTAGGCGTACCAGGGCTCGATAGGGACTGTAGTTGAAGCTTCCCTTCCCTTTCCGGAGTTGCGTATATAAGGATGCCAGGTCCAGATCCACTGTTTGATCGTTTATCTGTGACGAAAGATTTGATGCTGCATCAGTTGCCAGTAGTGCAGAGACAAGTTTTGTTATTGCACCTCTATAGAGATTGAGACTGTCAGAGGCAGCATTATCGGAGTCGTAGACCTTCTCTGCATCTGCAGCAGGTCGCGTAGCCTGTCGAGTGAGTCATTTAAAGGGTATCGCTCGATAACGTCGCAATCATCCTGTGAAAGATCCACCATTCCCGTACCATAAGCATATGGTGCTGCCAAAGAAGAGAAGCATCCTGGCCTTTGAGAGGAATGTGAATGTTTTGTTTCCAACGTTGGAGTGAAAGGTCGGATTTAAGCGCAATTAACTATCGCGTCCGGCTTAATAATAATCTTTTACCGAAACCTTAAGTTATCCTGCTAAATGCAAACAGGCTCAACATGCCAAAAACAGTAATAATCCAAAGTTGAAGAGAAGGATGAATGAAATAGAATAAAATAACATAAATTCGTTAATCAAAAGCTGAATTGTAGACGGGAAATGCATTCAAAGGGAAATTTGATAGAAGAGAGTGGATGTACGGGCGACGGGTGCGCCTCCGATAACGCTGGCCTCACCTGCCGGGCTAAGATCCAACGTCCAGTCTAGTTAAATATCCAATTTTAGGCCCGCGAGCTCAACAAAACCACCAAAATCTACCAAACCAGCTACATCTCGATTTTCTTCCTCTTCTTCCGCCTGCTCTGCATATTTGAACATCTCACATTTAATACAGTATATACGTCAGATCTCTCTCCATCGCTAGATCTCCATTGTCAAATTTCCCCACAATGTCTTCCCGTCCTACAGTTTATATCGTATCCGCAGCTCGAACCCCAGTGGGCTCGTTCCTTGGGTAAGTCACAGACAGCTCTCCTATAGCTATCCGTTACGGTAGAAGCTGGAAAGCTGGTGAAATATGAGATCCTTTACTGACTTGGCCGGTTTGCAGCTCCCTTTCGTCTCTCACTGCCCCTCAGTTGGGATCCCATGCGATCAAGGGTATGTATAAGCAGACTATTGTTGCTGCCTGCCAACCGGTACTGTCCAGTGCTAATGGTGTTAAAATTGCATAGCCGCCCTTGAAAGAGCCCAGGGAATTAAGCCAGAAGATGTACAGGAAGTCTTCTTTGGCAATGTCCTTTCTGCAAAGTAAGATGTCCCTCCTCTTTACCAGGGGTAGCTTGTACGCTAATAGACGTTGCAACAGTGTCGGCCAGAACCCTGCTAGGCAATGCGCACTGGGAGCTGGACTCTTGGACTCGACTGTCTGCACTACTGTAAACAAGGTGTGCGCCTCCAGTCTCAAGGCAGTCATACTGGGTGCCCAGACTATCATGACTGGTAATGCCGATATCGTTGTCGCCGGTGGAACAGAGTCAATGTCTAACACCCCCCACTACCTCCCAAATATGCGTACCGGAGCCAAGTATGGCCACCAGGGGCTTACGGACGGTATTATGAAGGATGGTTTGATGGATGCATATGGGAAGCAGGAGCTCATGGGTCTCCAGGCGGAGGAGTGTGCTCAGGATCACGGATTCAACCGTGAGCAGCAAGACGAGTATGCCATCCGCTCATACCAGCGTGCTCAAGCTGCACAGAACTCCGGTGCTCTCAGTGCAGAGATTGCACCAGTTGAAATCCCCGGCTTCCGTGGAAAACCATCCACCATCGTCGACAAGGACGAAGAAGCCAAAAACGTGAGTTTCCTTTATCTCAGATGCATCACACAACGACTAATACAAACAACTAGCTTAACCCCGACAAACTCCGGGCCATCAAGCCCGCTTTCATCCCCAACGGCGGCACCGTAACTGCCCCCAACTCCTCCCCCCTTAATGACGGCGCTGCAGCCCTCGTCCTCGTCTCCGAAGCCAAGCTGAAGGAGCTCAACCTCAAGCCCATGGCCAAGATCCTCGGATGGGGTGACGCAGCCCAGGCACCCAGCAAGTTCACTACTGCTCCATCCCTCGCCATCCCCAAGGCTCTTAAACACGCTGGTGTCGAACAAAGTGCCATTGACGCCTTTGAAATCAACGAGGCATTCAGCGTTGTTGCGTTGGCAAATTTGAAGCTCCTCAACCTCTCCGAGGAGAAGGTCAACATCCACGGTGGCGCTGTTGCGCTGGGTCACCCACTCGGAGCTAGCGGTGCTCGTATCCTGACTACTCTCTTGGGTGTCTTGCGTGAGAAAAAGGGGAAGCTTGGATGTGTGGGTATCTGTAATGGTGGAGGCGGTGCTAGTGCTATGGTCATTGAGTCCCTGCAGTAGATTTACTGGCTTTATTGACTTATTGATTGACGTTAATGAATACCATCCGGTATAAGAGAAATGACTTTATTGATACTTTCTTTCCAAAGTCTGATCTGATTGATGAACAAAACATTTCGGGGTCATTGAGGAAAAAACAAAACAAAAAACCAAAATTACAATGTCCAAAATTAATAACCATATAACTTAACTTAAACCGTGGATAGAAATACATTGAAACTCCATAATATAGCCAAATGATACCAAGTAGGAACAGATAGTAAATAGCCGGCCCAAAAAAAAGGAGGTAGGGGGAAAGACAAGCTAAGCAAAAGCCCCTACCAATGCCATCAACGACGCACCAGCGGCAACAGCAATACCGGCTTCAAGCCGGTTCCGTCCTTGCAAAGTCTCATAGCTTCTATCACTCAGGAAATCCTCAGCAAGTAACTCCACCAATCCAGCAAATAGTAACAAACCACTGCTGAACGCATTCGTCAGTCCAACCATCAGCAAGCCCGTGGTGCTCGCTGGATCATACAAGTTATGTACACCGAGCCCGATAGCCTGGCCTATAGGTGTAGTCGCACCGTACGCTAGAGCCATGAGCCACGGTTTGGGTGAGGAGGCAGGGAACAGAGCGGGTATTAGAGCCGCTATGCGTGCGCCGAGCGCGAAGCCTTCAAACGTCTGATGGAAGGATATAGCGACTAGTAGGACTAGAAAGTTTGCTCCCGTGGCTACGGAGAGAGCCATACCGATGAATATGCTGTGGAAAAGGATTCCGGCTTCGAGAAGGAGGCATTGAAGGAGTTGTTTTTGAGCGCTTTGTTCGCTCATGTGGTTGTCGTGGCTGTGGTGACGGTGGTGGTGGTGGGCATGTCCTTGGTGTCTAGAGTGTACGAGTACAGACTCGTTGTCGTCTGGCTGCGGATCAAGTTCTTCCAGATCTATATCTAGATCTTCATCGTCACTTGGATCTGTCGTTTCTCCGCCAAGTTGAGCTCTGCCATTACCGTTCGGCATAAGCGGACTTGCTCCATCGACTAGGTTCTCCGTCGAAGCGCTTATGACTATCCTAGCCGGTGGCTTTCGACGTACTTTCCCCATTTGTACCGATGATCCGTTCTCATGTCCATGGCCATGGTCATGATCATGGTGCATATCCCCTATGAGCGTATCATATTCCGATCCATGAACATGACCAGCCCCCTTCATGGCAAAGAACATCTCAATGCAAACCACCATCAACACCGCAACCATAGCCACCAGCCCCGCAAAGGCAGGATACCCCTTATTCCAGAACCGCGGCAGACATGGGCTCGTCAGGGATATGAACGCTGTAGGTAGCAGATGTACGAACGCAGTAGCTATAAGCACACCCGTTCCGAAATGGCGGGATAAAAAGAGGAAACGGCGCGGTATAGGTAGTTTCGGGAACCGTCGTGCTATTATAGGGAACGCACAGGCTGGTAATTGGCGTTAGCATGTCACAAATACAACCCGAGCTAAGTGTGAAGATGGGGGGATGACGTACCGAATGTGCTGAGGGCAAGTATGAGGAACAACGCAGCTACGTGAGCGGGCGTGTTATATGCGTTTGTCTTCTTACTTCCGCATGACCGTCGGAGATATTCGTCTTTCAACTTATCGAGTGGTATGGCGTCTAGGCCGGACAGTGCAGGGGCTATTCACGGCGTTAGCATACGCACTCCGGCGCCAACGAAGCAGGCCGACTCAACTCACCCTCCATCTTGGGGTATTAAGCGGGTTTCCGTTCTCTATTTCCGGCTGTCGTCATGTATGTGTGTATGTAGGTATGTGTATGTGTACCTTGCCCGGCAAGATACTATCGGTTTCCGCTTGCTGCACCCTTCCGTCGTCTTTAGTCCAGCGTATGAATGTAACCGCCCGTCCGTTTTATGCAGAGCACATAGCCATATCCAATCAATATCCCAATTGCAATGGTCGTATATCTGCTTCGTCTCTATCTCGCTTCGTAGGTGTAAGCCAGACAGCCCTGGGAAGTCGGACGGTATGAACTAGGTAGGTATGCGAGGGAAAAGCGCCGGCTGCGCAAACGACACCACAACGAGGAGAGTAGCGAACGACTGGCCCTGAAGCGATGGAATTGATATATCCTCCGACGAAGAGGTGTCTTGGTGAACGGTTGGATGTTGCTGGTGTCTGTTTTCTGTGCTGTCTTGCTGTCTTTCTGGTCGTGTGTCAAGTTTGGTCAATTTTTCTGGGAAGTCACGGGATGTCGCAGATAAAGCAGTTGGAAGACAAAGAAGACAAATATCAAGAAGGATTAGACGAGATAAGACGAGATGTAAGTAGGGAGCTTCTAGCGAGTAAAGCCTGGACCGTACGTAGGCAGGTGGATTTAACAGGAGTTGACGGGTTAAGTTGAGGACGTTATAAGAATACGCTGGCCCGTCCTCATATTGGCTGTCAGGGGCATACAGGTAATTCTAAACTATCAGGGGTGTCCTTGTACGCGCCGTCTACAGATGCATCTACATATATGTATATATAGATAAAAAAAACCGTTGAAGAGAGACAATTTGATCATTGAAGGAGGTAGATACAAGAGTAAAAAGAACAAATAAAGGGGTTTCGTCAGTCAGCCAGATGTCCGGATTCCGCTTAACGCCTCCTTGTGAAGGGGGAAGAAGATAAAAAAGGGGGAAAAAGATCATCTCGTGAATTTAAAAGTGAAGTAAAGGAGGTAAAAAGGGGAGCATTGGTCACCGGAGTGCGCCGATTCTGTTTCAACACCGAGCGGGAGTATGTATGTATTTATGTATGTATATAAAACAGAGAGGGAGCTATTTGCAAGGCATGGATATCAAGATAACAGTTAAGAAAGGACAAGACGAGAAAAGAAAGAAAACATCGACGGGATTAGCTCAGGCTTCTTGCTTAAGAGGCGAGGGCGAAGACGTTGGTCTTGGGGACGTCGCTGCAGATCTTCTTGACTTCCTCGGGGTCGAGGGTCTCGGGGAAGTCCTTCATGTCCTTGAGAACCTTGACGTAGAGGGTCTTGTCGCCAGAGTTGAAGACGACGGCGACGGTGGTTGGCTCAGTTGGGCGGTCGAAGTAGTAGCTGGAGCCGCCGGAGTGAGGCTGCTCGGTGTGGTAGGTGGACTTGCAGCGACGGTCACCTGGAGCGAGAACCTCGAGGACGTCGAACTCACCGCAGTTGGGCCAGCAAGTGCACTTGGGGTTTGGAGGGTACTGGGAGACGAGCGGGATCTTGGCGTTGAGGAGCCAGAAGGCAGGCATGTCGACGGGGTTGTAGATGGAGTCGGAGCGCTTGCCGGTGTAGGGCATGTCGAGCTTGACGAGGAAGATCTTATCCTGACCACCGAAGCCGTCTATTGAATGGTAATTAGTACATGTATATAGAACTGTTAGTTTATGTAGTTTGTGGGAACATACGGTAGGCAGTGGCACCAGGACGGGTGAAGCCACAGCTGTCTCCATCGCACTGCTTGTCGGTCATAATGATGATCTCCTTGCCATCGGGGACGGAAGATTCCTTGGGGGTGGATGGGGTGCTGGCGATGCCGAAGAGGTTATCAGCAGCAAGAGAGAGAGCGCATCCGAAGGCCTGAGTGACACCCTTGGCCCAGGCACCCTCGTTGTTCAAGAAAGTGAGGCCGTTGCTCTCACCAGACTCGGAGCTGTAGTAGGCAACACGTCCCCACTTGCCAGCAGGAATGGTGGGAGCCTTGGAGCTGCCCTTGGATGGGGACTTGGGCTTGTCGTAGGAATCACCGCCGGTGCTCTTGACATGGGGGTCGTTGGAGCCGGGAGCAGGAGTGGGAGCAGCGGGGGCGCCACCACCGTACTCGTTGGTCCAGGAGACGACCTGGCCGTTGATGGTGGCGACGACCTTGTCTCCGACGGCGCGCTTCTCGTGGAATCGCTGGTGGGAGTGGCCGTGGCGACGCTCGTGGATGGATGGCTTGAGGTCGCGCTTGGAAGTCTCGGAGCCCAAGTTGTAGACGGCAACGTTGTGCAGGTTCAATGGACCACGGAAGTGCATAGACAGCTGCTCTCGTCAGTCTCTATTCCTTTATCTTCTGCTTTATCAGGATCAAGCTTACCTCCTCTCCGAGAGGGCCGAAAGCGCTGTCGTAGGACTTGGACTGGGTGCCGCAGGTCATGGAGCCGGCGTCCATGCTGGAAACCTCATCGTAGGTGCCGGAGGTCTTGAAGCCGGCGTACTTGATGAGGTCAACGGCCTCGCAGTACCAGTTGCCGCCGTCGTTGGTGCAACCGGCCTCAGCGGAAACGGTCGTGACGGAGGCTGCGAGCGCAGCTCCGAGGTAGAAAGAGTAACGCATCTTCTACATCAGTCAGTCAGCCTATCTTTCATATCTCGACTCTTGAGTCTTCTCTCTCTCTCTCTCTCCCTACTACTCCGTACAAGCGTATAAGCGCCACTCACCGTCAAGGACAGACAGGTCGTCTAAAGAGCGAGAGTCTTGGATAAGGAGTGGAACAGGAGTTGTCTCAGCAACGTCCTTAAAGCAACAGCAAGAAATGAACGACAAAAAGGAGCGACCCTTGAAGCTGGAGATGAAGACGAAGTCGAAGTTGACGAAGAAAGAGAAGAAAGAGAAAAAGCGGAGGAAGAAGAAGAAGAGGAAGAAGTTCTTATTAAGGGAAAAAGACAAAAGGAGAGAGAGAGAAGGGGGAAAAGCTAAAGTCAGCTGGTAATACCGATACGCGTTTCCCGTTCGCTGGCGGAGCGTCACACGGCAGAAGAGCCGCCCCGCTGGCCCCCCTGACTCACGTAAAGCGGCAGCATAACAGAAGAACCAAGACAGGTGATTGGTTGAGAGGCAGGACTGGGAAGAGACTTGCGTGGCCGCTCTTAGCCCGAAGCAGGCCTAGCGCCAGGAACAAGGTTTTAATGACAGGAACCAGCGCTTGGCTGGTATCAGGGCGGTATCTGGTACATTTATTACTTACGGTACGCGACGCTTACGAGTTTCAGCCTGGCCAAAAAGGAGAAAAGAGTGAGAGATTGATGAATTTAGGAGGTTAGGAAGTGATAGAAGAGAAGAAGACAAAAGAAGAGGAAGAGAGAGAAGGTAAAGGGAAGAAAGAGAGAGAGAAGAAGTGGTGAAGACGCGGGAAGACAAAAGAAAGGAGAGAGGGTAAAGGAGGAAAGGAGGAAAGGGAAAGGAGCCCCCTTTGAAGGCAACAAGAGGGACAACGTTGGCCTTTCTCTCTTCTTCTTCTACTTCCTCTTCTCTTCTTTCTTTTTCCTCCTCCAGGCCAAGTCAAGTCAAGTCAGGGGACGCGGTTGGAGAAGTCGGAGTTAGTCGAGTGGGCCTTGCTGGTCGGACTACAAGGGGACTGCGAGATGCGCCTGGTTGGCTAGACCGGATCGTCGCTGGTGAAACTCGGGGCGACGGTGACGGTGCTAAGCAAGGTGATGTGGCGTGGGCGGCCGATGGGAGACGATAGACACGATAACAACAAAGGAGCAGCCGCAGGAAAAGGAGGTGAATGGTCGTGATGCCTGGCCTAAGCAAACACGGCTGCGTTGGCGTCGGCGGCTATGCGCACGTCTACCTCGTCAGCCCGACGGTGGTCGTGAAGACAGTCCGAGACCATGCAGAGGAGAAGGTGACCTGCACAAGGATATCGCATTCTATACGGAGTACACGGCCCAGCGAGCGCCAGGACCGGTGTCCGCCTCCGCATATCGTGGAATGCTTCCTTATGCTCCCGGACCATCTCTTCCTCTCATACTGCGCGAACAAGGCTCTCATCTACCGTTTCCATGAGTACATGACAGGCTTGTGAAGCACTGGTAGGAAGGGCGTTACTGGGTATCTACATGCTGCGACATGCACGTTCGTCTGGCGCTTCCTGGCTGGTCTACCAAAGTGAATCCGGTTTTGGCCCTGGTTTTGATCCATAGACCGGCTGTACGGAGTTGTAGGAGTTGTAGGAGTGACACAAAGGGAATTAATGCCCTCCCAACGGTAAATACATCGAGACCAGCGCTCGTAGCTAGTCCAGAGAGTAATACACCCCGGATACTCGTCTTCACGCTCGTCAGGCTAAGATGCTGGAGACGAGATACCGCCGACTACCTATTTAGTTAGACAGTCATGTGATGCGGCTCCTTCACGATAGTGGACTGCTTGACGAGACAGCCGGAAAGGCAGACACCGTAGATATTCGTACAAAGACAACGCGAGAAGAGTCCCGGGCTGAAGAGAGGGAGCAGACGATGACGGAGGCACAGAGACATCCGTACTTCCACCCGACTTGCCCGCTCTGCCAGCACGACGTCGCCGTCAACCAGCCAGCCAGCTACCGTCTCTTCCCCCTGCACCAGTCCCGCTCCTGCAATTCCCTCCAGGAACAGCCCCAGCATGCAGGCGGCCAGGTCTTCGTCCAGGGCGTCCTCGTCCAGCACAGACGCTTCCCGGGCGTCAGATACACAGACAGAGCCGTGCTCATCCACTGCCGCTGTCTCTCCTTCATCAGCCACCTGGCCCCGGGCTCCGTCAGCCGTCTGCTCGACCTGATAGAGCCTACTTTCCTCTCCTCTTCGACGGGGCTGGTAGACATACACGGCGCTTTTCACGTTGATACCACTGCTAGTAGTGCAGGTGTAGATACAGGTGTAGATGTCCGCAGGGGCATTTCTACCCTCCCCAATGAAGTATGGAACTTGATATCAAACTATGACGTCGGCAGGCTGGAGTTTCTCGTCAGGCTGGCTGCGCAGCTTCAGACTCTGGATGTCTCGCCGTTGGTCATGCTGGATTCCAGGTTTGAGCTCGAGACGGTAGATGTACGTGGGGACACGGTCAGGATACATCTTGTGCGGGTTGGAGGCCGTGCGTACATCAGCCATCTCTCGGATCCAGATAAGGTCCGTGAGGATGAATATGAATATGAACATGAATATGAAAAAGAAGATAAAAAATATACCCTACAATACAAGGACTACCGGTTTGGAGACAGCACGTTCCTAGCAGTCAAGACAGATGGTATTGGCGTGGTTGACCTGGCCTTGGATGAAAGTGACGGCCGACCAAACTGGATATTCGACCACCCTACAGCCCCCTTTGATAAACAGATATCCAGAGTCAGAGACGCAGATCTACACAGACTACGCCTCGTTTGTGATGTACACACCCTCTTCTTAAAAAGCTCCCTCTCCCTCAACTTACAATCTACTCCTGCTAACTATACATACCAGTCCATGAAATGCCGTGCCATATTACCCACTAATAGAGGTGGTGTTGAGCCTTACTTCGACGCAGGCTGCATGCCGCCAGGGAACTCATGGATCAACTCAAGCATCAGAGTAGGCTCCTGGCCGACACAACAGTCTGATCCATCAACGTACCTGGCACGCGCTACATACACTTCCTTCCAGCAGGCCCAGTCAGTCACTTTCTTCACTGACCTCGTCCGGCTCGGCATCACTGAGATTTACGTCAACGACGACCGACACCGCTACCGTGGCCACTCTGTCGTCTTCCCTGGCATAAGGCCAGCATGGACACTACGTCTGTCTGTCTGTCGTCGAGGCGCCGGCCAACAGCATCCATTCATACAGGTAACTTTCCATCTTCCGGCTTCTCTTTCTTTTCATGCTATGTTATTCTGTGTTAACGAGCGTAGTTTGATATCGACGGACAGTGGCTTCCGGCCCTGCCACAGAGCGGTATCGTCATTCAGCAGGTTGTCCTGGAACATGTCATTGGCATCTGGCTAGGCGAGACCTTCCCGCTCCAACCAGTCCACATAGGCATTGTCAGAGATGAATCTGCGCCTCGTCTACTGCCCGGCGAGCAGATGTTGAAAGTCCCTAACCTATCCATGTTTACCAGCAGGTGGTAGCATGCCGCCAGTTTTCCTTTCTCATCTTTGTCTCCATAACTTTGTCCCCTACCACATCCCATCCAATCCCTGTTTGGACCCAGTTAATCTAAAATCTTAACTTGATGCCGGATCGCTAAAAAAACAAAGATCTCGATCGAATCGACCCACAAGCAATTAACCGCTCTTTAATCGAAAGAACCAAAAGAGAAAAAAGTCAACTCGATCTAGACTTTGAGATGGGGTAGGTTTCCTTTTACGAATTCATGACTTGCATGTATGTAAGATAGGCTACGACGACATGTAACGAACGAACGACAGTGCACGAAAGAAATAAAGTATAAAAAAAAATCTATTATTCGCCTCCCATGTAACCAACCGGACGCCATGGATTCTTTTATCCAACCTTACCACACTTTGGGTCAATAATGCAGTTGTGGCAATAGTTACCACATTTCACTCACTCGAGCAGAACCACCTCTTCTTTATCGGCAGTCTGTCCCTGCCCGCCTTCTTCCTCCCACTCTCCCTCTGCCAGTAACTCCCACTCTGCATTCGCCATCTCGCCTAGTAAGGTGGATTTCAACTTATCTGCTATCTTCACGGGAGATGGCAACTTCCATGTCTTCATGAATTCCACTCCTTCCCATGAGCCGAGGAAGGTATGTGCTGAACCATGCGAGAAGTGGCCGAGTATAGGCATAGATCGAACTCTTCGTAAGCCGTTCCCATTTCCACTCTCGTTCTCATTCTCATTCTCATGCGCATTTGCATTTGTGTTTGTGTTTGCGTTTGCGTTTCCATTTACTTTCGTATCATTGTTTGCTTGGTCACTTGCCAGGGCTTTGAGTAGTGGCTCCGGAGCAACCAGCAGTTGCCAGAGGTTCCGGCCAATATCACAGACATCTTCCCATGACTCTGAGCCTAGATGTAGGCCCTGCGTTCGACATAGCCAGGATACATCCCATGCCAGTAATGCCACGCCTTCGATAAACAGTGCGTAGCCCGTGGGGTCTTCCTTGGCTAGCTTGGGCAGAGTCCGGTCGATAAAGAGCGGTCGAGGGCGCGGGAAGAGCATGGCCTCTGCGCTTCGAGGGTTGTGCAATGATTGGGTAGGGGAGAAGTTAGGCGAAGAGCCAAGGGAGTCCTGTCGGCGTGGCATGTAGGATGATGAGAGTGTGTAGACAGCCGGTAAAGGGTGGCCGCGGTGAGGCACCACTACTTCTGCGGGCAGTCTTAGGCCAAGATAATGGGATACCAGCATTACCATTCGGGCGAGATTGCCCAGAGACGCAGTTATATGCGCAGGATTTGCACCTACAAGTTCGTTAGTTAGTCAGAGGAAACGATACGTAGCAAGGCGAGCTAGACTTACTATTCATCTGGCGAAGGTCGACGATATTGACGCCTCCGATGGAGAACTGGTTTGTCAAGTCCCCTCTCTTCCGCCTCGTTCGTTGACGGAAGCCGAAAAGGCTGGCTACCTCTCTGCTAAGGAACACCCGTGACTCTACCGCCTTTTCGTGCACGCTGTTCCATTGCTTCTCCTTCGCTTTGATGCTCTTCTGGACTGTTGTCAAAGCCCGAGCCCGTCGGCTTGTCACCTCATAGTTAGCCGATTCTGCATCAGACCGCCGCTGAGCCAGAACCGCCCGCCGCCTAGCAATCTCCTTCTTCCCATCTGCAATCTCCTTCTCCAGCGTAGATATGTGAGACCGTATATCCTCTGTCCGGCCAGCAGACTGTGATATAGCCGTGCGCTTGGTCTGAATCAACAGCCTTGACGGCTCCGGCTCAGCTCCACCAACATCTTCAGATAATCGCAGAATATCACCACCGCCCAGTATCTCTGCGTTCTCTCGCGTATTCTTCTCTATCGACGCTTCGATCTGCGCTCCTGCTGCATCCTTGTCTAGCAGCACTCTCGCATGGTTGTATCGGAGGCCGTATAGCTGGTTGCGGGCGCAGGTTGGGCAGTAAAACCCCAGCCGTGAACTGGGCGGCTGCGAACATACGTGGCAACCCATGTCAGGTAATCCTCAGCAGCTGCGTCGTGGTCAAGCTTCCACAGTCTCTCCAATCCAAGCCGGTCGTGCCTTTTCGCCGAACACCAGGGAGCAGCGCTAAACCACTGAACATGTATTGGGTCATGGCTTGGTGCCGTTATAAGCGAAGATCCCTTATTTATTGTAGTCCCTGGAAGTGTCTCGTCATGATATCAACCTGTGACAATACACAAAAGCGTCGGTTGAACTTCCAAGGTTGTTTGATATCGTCGTCGTCGCTTGAGCCCCGATGATGTCACCTGATCCCGCCACGAGATATGATTATGTAATGCCGTGACGCTCTTTTTCTTAAGGGCACTCTTCTTTCCTTTGGCCCACAACCAGACTTCCCTCTGGCCTAAGGAGAAGGGTAGGGAGTAAGGTTAGGAGAAGCCCTAGAGAGATGCCTAAGGAGCAGGCTTAGGGGGATAGCTAGAAAAGAGCCTAGAGCGTAGGCTTAAGTAGATGCCTAGATAACAGGCCTAGGGAGATGGGTAGAAAGAAGAGGCCTAGAAAGATGCCTAAGGAGAGGCCTAGGGATGGCTGGAAGTAGGTGGGCTTAATTGGATGTGGAATTATCTAGTTGGTCGTGCGCGACAACCATGAATTTGCTTCACTATAAACATCCTAAAAAGGACATAAACTTTATATTAACTATCACGACTTCAAAGAAACCAGCTACCATGGAGACCGACATTGAGACAGAAGACAGGAGTGGGACACCCGTGCCAGGCTCTTCTCTTGACCCAGACTCTCCCATGGTAGACTCTCCTCTCTACCCCAGAAGTCCAAAGATCAACCTGGCTTCAAGGGAGGAGGATGAGGTAGATGAGGAAGATGCATTCATTACCATCGCGTCTGTTCCTGCATCTGTTCCCGCATCGCCAACTAAGGAAACCGTAGTAGAATCTATGGTAGAGCCTATGACGGAACCTAGGCATCGGCGAAAGAGATCACTTATACCCACTCCTATATCCAAACCAACGCCGAGACAAACACCTAAACCAACACCTAAACCCAGCCCGGTACCTGATGATGAGCTCTCCAGTCTAGCCCGTGAACTAGAAGGTTGTACCTGGGAACAACTGCAACAGCGGTTTACCGAAGAAATGGACGAAAGATCCAAAGCTGAAAATACCCTGCAGAAAGAGACTGCTGATCTCCTTGAAGTTAGTCTCACTACTCTACTATAGTTTGATGTCTTGTTCTAATCCGCCTTTGTTTGATTTGCTATACAGGTGTTTATGGCGTGGTCGCAGACAACTACATTCCGTGATGAAGATAGAGCTTATAAGAGGTTCGTGGAGTCCTATTTGTTTCCTCGGGAAATAGCGTGGCAATTAACCCGAACCAGGTTTAAAACTCGCATGGATCATGTCCAGAAGTCAGAAGCAAATCTAGAAGAAAAGAAAGCACATTGTACGTCAGCCTGGTTATACCTACATCTTAACGTTGCTAACTTTGTATGTATACAGATTCCAACGTGGTCAAGGCATTTGAGAGTGCTCTTGCCCTCCTACGCACAGAGTGAATTTCATGAGCAATGATTGATGTAAGATGAATCAGTATTTAATGTATGCTTTATGACACGTCCTCCGGGATTATGAATATGTCCTCGTTATGAAAGAAGCCCCTCAGGGTCTGGTATGTAATAATGTAACAAACTATTTCCACCTTTCCATCCTTCTCTACCCTCCAACCTACCATTATAGACCATTCGTCCGAAAATCTCATAAGCCTTAGTGGTCATCATGATATGCATTATCGCGGGAACCTCTACCTGCAGCAGCAGGGTGTGGGTTGGGTGCCCGGCCCATGATATCTTCCCATGTAGCACCAAATCTCCTACCTGTAGAGGCAAGCAGGCCCTCTTCTTCGGCTTCCTCCGCGTCCTCGTCCAGCTGTTGCTCATCAAGTTGAGGAGTCCGGAAGAGCGTGGTGATAAAGACAATGAGTGAAATACCTATGATGAAAATTAGCAGCAGTAACTCAATAGACTGAGAAAGTGCCTTTACCTAGGAAAGCAAACTGGGCCCAGAAATTAACCATGCCGAAGAATGGGTAATTAAGCGTGATTCGGTTCAAGAAAACGCTAACAACGCTCGGAGTGCACACGTCCTTGGCCGAGTGATTTTTCGTCAGTTCAGAACAGGGCTTGACATCCTGTGGCCGGTGCTCGCAGGTTATACCGTGTTCCCCCGATTCGGATGGAATGTCACAGAACGTCTGTGGACCGTACGTCGCATATTGAGGCGCCACCATCATGGATATAGAGAAGTTAAGTGCTAAAATAATAAGAGCAAGCATCACTGTGGCAAGCAGCAAAGCTTGAGGAGTGGTATGCCCTTTCCGTATACCGAATATTCTAACCCATAAGAAGCGAATCCCGACGGTTGCAACTCCAACAACTGAGCTGCTGAAAAAGTGTAACACCAACACTGTGAAGAGTATGTAGTCGATGGGGAAGACTTTCGCAGATTGAAGAAGGGCCCAATTAATAGGGTTGAACACGTTAACCTTCGCTAGGATGTAACCGCAGTTGTGTTTGCAAATAGAATTCGTCGCCTTGTCGATCCCTGTAAGCAGCATCGAGACCCAGATAATGATGGAAAGCAGGAGCAAGAGCAGCCCTCCGAGAAGCTTGATGGGACGGAATACGGCCCCTATTTTGTGCCATGCTTTCACTAGGAATCCTCTTCCGTCGCCTGCATTAGACTCTGCAAGGCGCTGTCGACGTCTCAAAGTGCGCTCCTCGCGAACTAGCGAGTCAAGCTCTCGTCGCTCCTTTGACGATAAATGATCGAGATTACCTCCGCATCGGCCTTCGAGCTGACGTTGGCGTTCAACATTCTCCTCCAGCCTTGAAGCGGTTGTAGCGTATAGAGAAGGGCTAGAGACAGAGGGCGCTGTTTTGATAAACGATACAGGGAAGAGCGCAAGGCCGGTTGATGTATAAAGAACGTAAACAACGATTCCAATTACCGTCAGCAAACCCAGAGCAAATGTCAAAGCTCTTTCGCCGTCTAGAGTTACAAAGAAGAGGTCAGTTTTATTTGTCACCAACGAAAGAAGTTCCGCACAAATACGTACTATTCTCTGTGAGCAGATGTTTAAAATAGTCAAGATCAAGCCCTGCTCCGGCTTTATTCCGAGCAGCCGGGACGAAAAACCCGACCAGAAATAGGATGATTGTCACTACAAGAAATGCAATCGTGTATCGAAAGGCACCCCAGAATCTCTTTCCGAAGGCACTCCAGTCCTGCCGTTCAGCAAGCTCATCATATTCCTCATACCAGAAGTACGTAAATGGAATGACGAGCAAGCAGAGGATGGTATCAAACGAGTAAAGAGAATAATAGACGATCGTGAGAGATCGCACGATACTGTCGACAGCATCCGGAGTCGCCCAATCCTTCCGCTGGCCCAGTTTGCGCGAGTTGGTAGATGATATCAAGGCAATGTCCACTGGTAGGAGTAAAACGGTAGCTAGCAAAGCTGATACAGTGAGAATGCATACTGCCGATACCAGTCCCGATCGTTCTCTCGGAGCTTGGTAAATATAGACAAACACCGAAGCTATCGCGACCAAGATCGCGACAACAACCGCATACACGATCCAGATGAGGCTGGACTGAAGGAGGGTCATCGCGCAGGTGCTGAACTGGCGGAATCTCTTTACGCGACGTTCAAGCAAACTAAACCCGTGAGTAAGAACTGGAAAAGAGGCGCTATTCTAACATCATTCATGCCGTCCGTTGAAGTTGTCGTCGACTTCGTTTGCTGTTTGTTTCAAGCTCCGTTTCTTGGTCGGATTTTGTCGTCATAGTCACGTGAGACAGCTTTTGCAGGTTGAGGCTCATTTAAGCTACTTTGTTAGTGAAGAAAAAGGATATAAATCTACATTCAGCGGCCAACGGTCAAAGAGCAAGGTTTAAATCCTTGCCACGGATTCATACACGTCAGGTTGCTCGTGGAAGCGCTTGCTAAGTATCATATTACAGGCAAACCTTACATATTGACGCGTAGTTTACACGAACTACTCGCAGAGGCGCACGGCACGCTTCTCGTAAAGGAATACCTAGAAGGGGACTGGTATCATTCTTAGGGAAGCTTTTAAAATCGAGCTTCAAGATGTATGAAAAACCGAATGGCATCCCCCACAAGAAAGCTAAATACTTTGGCGAAAGCTCCCCTCATGATCTTAGGGATCTAGAGCGGAACGCAGCAAAGGCGGAGCAAAGCCAACTAGCCAAAGCTGCATCCTATCTTGAGCAGGCATTCACCGGTACGAAGACTGCTTGGTTTGGGGGATGGGCACTGAATCTTCGCGGATCATATCGGGAAACGCACGACCTTAGTCTTCTCGTCCTGGCCAAGGACACGACCGAGATAAGATCTATCCTAGAACAGCATGATTGGTATGACCTTACTGCCGGCCCGTAAGTCTATGGCTAAACCTAAAAACAGGGCTTTGCTGTCGTTTCACCTCGTCTCCGGCACTGTTCAAGAGAGGCTTTTCGTTGACATCGGAGAAGATGGTCAGGTTGTTGGTGCAAATATAACTCTTTCAGGTTAGAAGTGTCCAAACTGCGGCCATTCGCATTCGGCACTATATACTAACCTTCATCTTATCTACAGGCGCACTAGGTACACCAAAGCTTGACGAAGCGGAGTCTTACGAGTCTATAACCCCAGCATTCCCTACGCCGCAAGGAAGCCGGGTCAATGTCATCCATATTACATGGCAAGTTGAGACAAAACTCACCGCATGGTTCTCAAACAGAAAACTCTCCGATCTTTTGGATCTACAGTTCTTGCTGGAGACCTACAAAAACGAAATTGCTGGATGGAGTCAATTTCTAGACAAGAACATGCGGGAGACCTTCTACGCAGTCTATGTAGCTGCAGTGGAGGATGAGGAGAAGTGTAATGCAGCAAAAGTGACGCTGTCACTGTAATATTTATCAAACGATACTGCAAATGTGAAAGAGACAGTTGGGTTTATCCAGCCCAGCATATCCCCTGCATATTTAATGAAGACTCTCGCCAGTTACTAGCAAGAAAACACAGGCGTACAATATTCTCCTATGGGATTCATTTTCTAAGGCCTGACGTCGTTAATTTGGTAGCTAGCGTTGCCTGGGTAACCACTTTCAAATACATAGCTACATGGCCGGAAGTAAGGTGCAGGGTTTTTCTTGTGTCCAAGCCATCACGGGTTTCAACGCGGACGCAGCCGCAATCTACCAGGCAAAGTATCTGAATATCACGCAGTTAATTAGGCAAAATGCCTGTGCCATCTCGCCTTCTTACTACCAAATTCTTCTATGCTACTGGGAACACCCCAGCGGTGTGTCTTACGCACTCTCTTCCCCCGGATCAGGATGTGTCTCTACTCCTCCTTGGATGCGGGGATGTTCGCAATGTGCTGTTCACAGCATACGCAGATCTGGGTTCAGGTAAGCTCAGCGAGCGCTTCTCGAAATTCTATGTTGAGCTTAGCTACTAATATATGGCTAGGGAATCGAAAGATAGACGTTACCTGCTGTGACTTGGAAGGAGAAATTATCGGTATACATCGAGGCTTTCCCTGTTGACTGTCTTGCTGCTGACCCTATAATAGCCCGCAACATGTTACTATACACTCTCATCATTGACAGCACGAACGACACGAATATTGAGGATATATGGAATATCTACAATAACGTTTTGATTAATGACACAGCCCTCGACCTATTGCGCAGTCAAGCAAAAAAGCTTGTCAAGATCAGCAACAGTATTTCGAACTGGAATGATGGGAAATATGGCAAAACACTTCGATTCTGCACGCAGGATACGTATTCCCGTGTTATGAGAATGTGGGAATTTTATGCCTTAGATCCCTTAAATGAGCAGGCTTTCAAAGATCAACAGAAAAAGCTCGAACTGATGATAAAGAAGGCCAAAGATCTACAGAAACATACTGTAGGCTCTACAAAAGTGATGACCGGGATCCGCTCCGCTGCACCTTGTGATATTACCCATATCAATGAGAGCCATAAGTTCTATGACCAGTTTTGGAGAGAAGGAGTCATTGCACCAAACACGGACTCCTTTCCCAAGGCACTACATATGAATCCAATGATTGGGACACAGAGTGAAAGGCTAGTACTTCACTATGGCACTCAGCCGCTGCTAGGATTCCACCTAGCCACCGCATACTCGCCGATTGTAAAAGGATCGCCTCTGGATTATACCCCCGATAGCCTAGGTGGCACGCCCACTATTATCAGGGCTGCGTTCGCCCAGTTCCGTGTCTACGTAAACACATTTCATGCAGTATTCCCAAAGTGGGTACTCCGCTTCGCGTGTGCTGATGCTTTAGTGTTTTGCAATACACTTCAAGGCCAAGAGTATGGCATGACTTCCCGACAGGAATATTGTGATAACTGGCAGTTTGAACCCTTTGTCCTGGACCCATATGAATACCCCGAACAAGGAACTGGAGCTCCTCGTTTATTTGATGCCATTGATACATCAAATTTAGTAGACCATCTTGGGGCATTAAACATTCTAGCAGCAACTGGCCCTTTGTTGAAGGCAAAACCCACATCAACTATTTCCACGGAGCTATTAGTTTCGCGGAGGAAAGATACAGATGAATACGTGAAATCGCTTCTGTCGGGGGATATGATAACCATTGGCTCCTTGTTCAAACTTACCCCGAACCAATATTGGACCGGTGCGAGTGTATCCTCGCATTTTATGGAGAGAGTTTTTGCACTTATACGCGAGAGCGCCGCTCAAGCTCGCTATGTTCTGCGATGGACCAGAGTGGTTGAGGACTCTATCACATATGACCCAAAACAACTTTCTGGTCTTATGTACTCTATGTACCTTTGCATGTTTGAGGACGAAAATCCACTTAATCTCCTGAAACTGCAGCAGGATGGAAGGTTGCTTGATGACTTTAAAGCCTATACAAGAGCAAGTCTCTGCTCTATTTTGCAGAGCTTACGAGGATCGAACATAGTGAATTGGCAGACTTTCATCAGCCAATTTTGCGACTTAATAAGTCGGGATTCTGGCTTGTTTATGGGCCGTCATTATCTTCAAGAGTTTTACCTACACCTGCATCTTTTGGACCTGTATACGGTGCCAAGTCTCAAACCTGATCTGGATGGCACAATTTCTCGATTACCACAAAGCCTATTCAGGAATTGGGCTAATATTCCCCCACTGCTATCAGTCACATTGGCCATTCCTCACGAAAAGCTTTCATTGTTTATAAATGCACCTATGAACAAGTATGGCACACCAATATGCCACATTATGCTGGAATCGCAAGCAGGACAAAGCATTTTTGCAGATGTGCAGCTAGGATTTGGGAAAATACAGACATCTGGGATGAAATACACGGAAGGGTATGCGCTTGAAGTCATCACAGATGAGAGAGGATGGGACGGGACCGCCCCCCTCCTTGCTTCCGTGAAGGTCTCTACAGCTGTAATTCTACTACAGCCAGACCTATTGTGTAAAATTTCCTTTGGACTGAAATCAACTCCCATCACTATCCAATTGGTGAGGGAACTTGGAATGAATCTGACCATCCATGAGTCTACATTGGCTGATAGTGACGTGTATATCACCCGCTGTCGTCCGAATATGAAGCACCAAAGGATAGAACGCCCCGAAGTAATCCAATCGAACCGCAGCGTCGTTCCTTCAGATTCACCCAAAGATATGGAAGGGATAGAGCTAAAATTTCACTTGGAGCTTAATTCTAACTGTTCAAAGGCTGTGCTACTAACAACACACCTTGAGATCACCTCGCCGAGGTATCAGGATATTCTACGGCAAGGGGCCGAAGTCCTCGTGAAGCAGATTTCTCCATACAAAATAAGCATCCAGCTGGGAGGGAAGCCTTTCCAATCCAAAATCCAACTTCCATTCCCCGTTTTATCGGTGAATACCAAAACGAGAATTGCCCGGAAGTCCTCGTATATTGAGTTCATTGCGCCGATAGCTTCCACCAGAGATCTTGCTCAAAACCCCGACAATATTTTCCCCGTCGACCTCTATGATAATGGTCCGGTTTTGAGAAATCTAGATTATACCGCACTTGACAAATTGCCCAAGCTTGAGCTTAAAGATTCCTCAAAGTTGAGTTGGATTAAATTACTTGTAGGTGATATGTTCTCTGCCACAGAAGACAAGGAAAGAAATGAACTCTTGAAAGGTTCGATTATTTCTTCTTCAGATGTGCGAATGAATTTCAAAGATTCACTTGTTTCTCTGTTTGGAGGCGTCAGTGGTGTCAGCGGCCAAGGCAACCAAATGGTTTTTGGTCTCCACAACGAGGCAGGTAGAGGGGTGAATGTGATCGTTCTCATCTCGTCTTTACGACTGGAGGCTGCTAATCAAAGTATGGTACTTGACGGAGCGGTGATTCCTCTTACTACAGATCTTGTTCAGATGATTTCTTCAAGCCTCCGTACCTTCACCGAACGGGGCTTGGTAACAATCAGAGTCCCTGAGGATGAGTTCCGCCTTTGGAAACACGTATTTCCTGCCTTTGTCGAACGGTGCCGTACCTGGAAGCATTTGCCGTCGTGCAAGTATACGACTACCGGGAAAATACCCCTTTCCACTGATTGGGCACAGCCGATACTTTGTTCATGTGGCGAAGGTAAATTCCCCAACGGCTATGAAATCAAGGGAGTTCCGGAGTGGAAGAATATCAAGAAATACGCCACCCGCATCGCCATATCGCCTTGTTACTGGGTCCCATTCGTGGATAAAGGGGTTTTGTCTGGCGTGCAGGACAAGGACGACAATGAGGAGGACAACAAGGAAGATATTTCCCAGATATTAGAGCCGCTAGACTTAAAGAAGAGGCTGTGCTCAAATTGTGGGAAGAAACCTGGAAGTGGAACGAAGCTGCTCAGGTGCAGTGGCTGCAAAATAGCAGAGTATTGCTCGAAGGAATGCCAGAGGGAGGACTGGAAAGTAACGCATAAATCGGTATGCAAAATGATGGCACAGTTAAAATGAACATGGCTAGCTGAGTGTTCGACAGTCGTCTATCATTTTTCCCAATAGTGTCATATTGTCCGTGGATGTTTTGGGTATCTCCCGTATTCAATAGCTACTTCACCACATAGCTAGATAGCGATCCAACAACCATGGCTGAATGATGACATTAGCTATTCTGTAACTTCTCCGTACGGAGTACACAACTGCGATTGCCGAGAGTACGGTTTCTCGTAAATAAACATCTGAACAAGTAGACAGCAGAGTCACACAGATCTCCAACTAGATTGATGATGTTCAATCTTCGTAACTATAAACTGGGTAAACAAATCGACGCTAAAATGAGAAACTAGCCTCCGGTATGCTCACCCGATATCCGGCTTATGAATATCACCTCTAGTGTTTCGGTCTAATGAAGGTCAAACATCCCAGGCTCCATTTAAACTCCACACGCCCAATCTACGTATATGCTTTGACAGTCGCTGCCAAAGAACCACCCCACTGTATGATATTGAACCGTCATTTATAGACGGGGTTTATTAATGGGGAAGGTTAGTGCGGAACTCATCTATATGTATATATATCCCATTCCTTACGAGGGAAGATGTGCTGAAGAGATCTCCAGAATGCCCAAGACGCAACGGCGACATGGCTCATGCGCGCTAGATAACGGGAGGCCAAAGTAAGACCATAGTATGGGTAGCCGACCCGTTAGTTATAGATAGATTAATTTTATAGATAAAACCACATGACATCACTGTTGCCAGGGTTTCCGTGCATACTGGAATAGGGTGATGGGATGATGGAGCTCTTTTTTATCTCTGCAGCCGCGGGCGGTGTTTCAATAGCTAGGACGGACGTCACACATCCGCCCATTAATATGCAGAATTGTGTTTCTGTGTTTGAGGTCTAGCGGACGGGTAAGGTGCCATCCTTGAGCTCTTCACCCATGGCGCCGGCCACCGTTATTGATTTAGGTGTAACAGGCCAATGCAGGCTCAGAACCAGCCATGGCACCCAGCGTTCATCGCCCTGACCTTGCTCAGGCACGGAGTACCCGAGGCGTAATCCGAAAGGTTTGTTGAGATCTGCCGTGGAACAGTAAACATGGCCTACACTTCTGCAGTATGTAAGTTACTCAAGTTACTCCTGCCACGTACTCCGTAGGAGTGGGTGTGATTGTGTCTGGTGTCGCTCGTATTGTTGCCAAACAATGGTGAGAATAGAATCGACCGGACTTTCTCGGACGAGGATATTCGACGTGGATATCTGGCCTTCTCTCCTGCAAGTAAGTCTCCGTATGTAGCTAAGCGAGAATGGGGGATAACGGTCCGATCTGTGAGGAAAGAGATGAAACAAATCCATACGAGGATGTTCTCACACAGCTTCCTGGATAGTCAGCTAGCGTCATACTGGGAGCTTTGAAGCCCTGGAAAGGGTGGAGCTTGGATATGATCTGGTGATAACTTGACTCACCCTCACGGAGCGGCTTGCTTAGTGAGTTAGTGAGCACTATTATTAGCTGCGATCCCTGAATCATCACAACTAGCATCATTCTCCTTGCTGTGGAGTTGATCGTGAAGTCGATGAAGTCGAAGTCGAAGTCGCGAAAAAGCCGTCGCCGAAAAGGGGAATCACGTGAGCCGGCTTTTTTGACGACGTCGACCTTTTTCGTTTCTTCTTCTCATCATCAACGACAAACGACAGCAACTCGTCTTCTCACGCATTATTTGACAGCCAGGTATTGAAGTATATACATGGAGTATATTAAGTGTGTTATGCTCCGTAGCTACGGTCAAGGATTGTGAGAGCTGTCCACTCAGACGCGTTTGCCCACTCTGCAGATATCGCCGGGACGACTGGGTGGTGGAGAATCGTCCCGCGTGGTGGGAAGAAGGAGACCGGCCGGTTTCTCTGGTGTGCAGACGATGGAGCGCTGACTGCTTGCAGGGTGCCTGGCCGACCTCCCTCCCTCCTTGTTCGTCTCTGGCTGTCTGCTGCTCTGGCGGCGAGCCCATGGCATGAAATATGTAGCGAGATATCTCGCCTGGTGGGTGGCTGAGACACTGGAGCACAGAACCTCCATGCAGCATAACTAGTTGAGGCAAAGTCAAACAGAAAAATAAAATCAGAAAAGTCGCCTCTTGAGGGCCGATACTTGGGCACGGCATGCACCTGCGCGAACACACCGCTTCTGCTGGCTCGTTGGGCATCGCTGCCAGGAACTCGTGCGCCCTCCTGAATGGTGTCAAGCCACTCGCAAGGCGATCTCCCAGTATTGCGCTGCTCTAGCGCTCCTTTATATGCATGTGCATACATATAGCGACGTCTACATATATTTTAAAGAAAGAAGCAAACGGACATGCGGGTGCCAGAACAGAGATGCTCTCCGTTATACGGGTACGCACTCCTTTCTTTCTCTCACGCTGGATCGCTGGATGTAAGTTTGCGCACGGAGTCAGCGAAACGTGGACGAATTGTACGGGATTGGCAACTCGGTCAGTTTGGCTCGGAGATGCAACGATGGCCAAACTATCCTAGTCCCTTGCATAATCCTTAGCTAAGGGAATGACACGCTTTATGGGGCACGGCTGCCCCCGCTTGTTCTGGAAGCCACAGGTTGCGCAGGAGTTGACTGTAGCCGGGCTCCCAAGGAGTTTCAGGCCTGGCTTCTCCTCTCCCAGTGGCCCAGTCCAGCTGTCTCCAGTCTCCAAAATAGCTATCCTTCCCTGTCCTTGCCAGCCCGGGGCAAACAACCCGGTTGCCTACCTGCCTGCTCTTGTTTCCTTGTCCGATTTTTCCCTCTTCTTTTGACATACATTTTGATCTTGTTTTCTTCTCTTTCTTGTCGACCTCGCCCTCAACCTGCACTCCTTTTTTTTTTTAACGCCGTGCTTAAGTCAGTCCTTTATTTCGTTCCTTTCCCCCCTTTTTTTATTCTTCCACATAGCCGCTAGCTACTATGCGGCGATCTGGATGAGGGAGTCAAGATCCCAAGTCCCCGCATGGTTATATTGCATCTTTTCTCGGGCTTTCATTTCCGCTGCTTACCACTCACACCAGCCGCCGGAGTGTTTCCCACTCCAGCGTCAACCGCCGACCTCCAAACATTTACAACATTTCTGGTAGACCATTATTCGTCACCTTGAGAACAGCAGCTCCTTCAGCCTCGTCAGACACCTCCCTAACCCTTCGATTCGTATTGCATGACCATACTTCTTTGATTGGCTGGTCGAGTTCACCATTTCGTGCGGAAAGCAGTGCTTGATAGTCCACTCCTTTCTTTTGCTCCTGACGCTCATTCTCCCAGAAGGAAATAAAAAAGACCATCGTTTTCTTTTGGGCAAAAAGAAAGCAATACTTGATACTATTTACTTAGAGGTCTTCTGATCATTTCAACCTTACCTATATCAGAATCTATCATGATACCCATCCACAAAAGGTAACCATTTACGCTACTTTTATGGCACTAGACGCGCATTCCAATAGCGAACAGAGTTTTGTCATCATCGTTATCAGCGTAGCGCCAAAATCTACGGTCTGTGTGAGCGGTTGATCCCGTCATTAGAACTGGCCATAGTTCGATCGCAACAATGCCGGTTCGAAACCATCTACGCAAAGAAGGACATCGAGGACAGCTGTCACCGCTGTTCCCTCGTCATGAATTGAAGATATCGGGTCCTCTTCCACACCCCTTTCCAGCTGCCTATGACGCCGAGCCTCCTGTCACCCCGAACCTTCTGCCCGTGACGCCTAACGTCGTGGCCTTTAATTCCTCTTATATGAGCTCACCCCGCCAGTCCCATCAGTGTCCGCAAACACCGATTCAGTCCACTCCTTCCGAGACTTCACGCCCAGCAACATATCACCCACACCCGTCCCCAGGGGCGCCTGTGTCTCATGCTCACCAGGAATCCCTTTCGAGCAATGCGTCTCATAGCTCTACCATGCACCGTCGACGAGGGAGCACCCTCAAAACGGTAATGCGGAAGATCTTTGGTCGCAAACCACGAGACGAGCTTGATGACCTCAAGTCACCGCAAGAAATTCCTGAAATCTACCCTCAGTCGCCCGAGGTCGCTAGCCTACCTGATGACGAAGAGGACATGACCGTACAACCTCCTGCTCGCTTTCACAGATCCTCTTCCCTCCCAAGCCTAAAAAATAGCCCTAAGAGAAGTTCCAGAAATTCGATCTTCGGCTTAGGCTCGCCCCCCGAAGCGTTATCGTCCTCAGAACTCTTAGATGTACGGGGCCATCGGAGACGGGCCACCCTACCCAGTGTTGCGCTCTCTATCAACGACACTCTTGAGCTTGCCTCAAAACTTGATGCAGTTGGTACATTTGAAAGGAAAAGCTCAATCGCAAGCCTTGATGCGCTGGCCTCGAAGGCCGATACCCATTATAAACGCCGCTCACGAAGTGCCTGCGGTTTGAGAGAAACTGCTAAATCCCATCGCATGTCTCCAATCCAATGGCGACGGAGAAGTGATGAGATCAGGTTTTGGAGGGAGAGTACCCTCAATGATTTTGCCGAACCTCGTCCCGATACTGGCGCTGTGTCATCTGCCACAAGTCACGCTAGCCCTGAAGAGAAAGACGCGGATCTAAGTGAAGAGTCTATTGGTTGTCCTATCGAAGGAGATGAATCTGAAGACTCCGAGCCAAACGGCGAGGAAGGGTTTGATTTCAAAAATCTGATGGAAAGCATGCAAACTGAAAATGAAGTCAGTTTAGCACAGCGAGTAGCAACTCTCGAAGTCAAACTGATGGACTTGGAGTTTGCAATTGCGAAACTACAAAACAACAACACTGAAGCAACTACGGCCAAGAAGAAGGCTACGAGCTCCCCAGTCCGAGGGAGACCCATGGAACCCATAAACGACTCCAGCCAGTTCATCAACTCATTCGTATCCACGCCTAGCATTACTCCACCTCAGGGATCCCCGGCTGAAATAGAACCGATGCAACGCAGCAGCCCAATTACGCTGTGTAACCACTCACTGGAATGCATCTCACAGTCACGGCGCCCCCCGTCACCACATCGTTCTGATTCGGGTTTCAAGGGGATATCCGTGGAACAATACAGTGCTCTGACCACTCTCATGCGACGAGAACAATGCGCCAGAAAGCTACTGGAAAGCCAAATCCTTTCCATGCAACAGGAGATTCGGCGCCTTCAAACTGGAGAGCCATGGGTGCCAGGGCAGGGAAGCACCTTTTTGCGATCCTCAAGCCCCGACTCACAAGTGCTAGCCAACCCGTACCTTCATGATTCTCCAAGACAGGTACCATCAAATCCATGGAAACTTCCACATAATATTGAGTCATCTCAAAATGACAGCAACTCGATTAATAGCTACCGGCATAACTCTGACTCAAGCCGGTATAATACCTACCACCGATCCCGCAACGACTATTCCCTACCACATAACAATCATATTCCGGGGATGATATAGTAACGACCCAATGATACCCCATCCTCGACTTGTGTATGATTCAAACTTGTCCTGTCCTTCTTTACAGTTTCCATTGTCAATATCTTCCCAAACTTACTCATTATTTTTATTACTATTATTCTGCATCTTTGCACAGCCATGAATTTTCACATGTACCCCACACACATATATACCTTCTCTCTTTTGTTTACCGTATTATATCCCACCTGCTCGTTTTTCTATGTTACTTTCGCTTCAGATACCCAATACCAATTTGCACCCATGAATTTCTCGATTATTTGACTACATCATTTCCTAATTATGGGCAAGTCTGAGACCTACCTGTCTATATTTCCATTCTTTTTTTGGCTGGAATGCCTAGATATGCCAGGCTAGCTCCGTGGTTCAAGTAGTAGTGAAGCTAATATATTTCTTGCTCTTAATGTTTCTTATTCTTTACCTTCTTTTGACCGTAGAACTATGAACCGCCTTCCTGAAGAATATCTGCTCGGCACTTAGTTATACGTAACTTCAATATCCAGCCGGCCTGTCACGCTGTCGCCTTGGTGTACATTGGTTTGTACGGAAGTTTTGTTATCCTCGAAGGTAATGCAAACAATGCAAACATCCAGCTACCTCGACTTTCTGTTGAATATCAAATCGCAACCGTCAAACGTTCCAACGACAACCAGCTCGCTCTACGATATATCAAATGCCTCGATTATACGGCATATCTCCCATCCCATGAGTTCCCAGATTACTCCCGTCGCGGCCGCAGGGCCAGCTTCGCAGACCGAAGCCAAAGCCCATGTCCAATCCTACCCCCCTATCCGCATACTCTCCAACCCAACTGCGCAGGCATACTCGCATCTTCACCCGACTCTCATAGGATCCATATTTGCTCTCCGATTCAAGGCTCTGGTTTCCGATCCAGTGACTACACTGTCTACCCTCCTGCCAGTTTTTGCGGTGCTGCAGATAATATACGTGATTATATGTTTACCTGCTGCGGGCACGGCTCTTGGGAGCTCAAATAAAGCACGTTCCAGTGGGAAGATAGGAACAGGGACCAAGCGGAAGGACGCAGAGTCTTCAATTGGTGCTAAAGTAGTTGTAAGCTATCACATTACACCATTCACTTGAAACCCAGCGCGTTTAGGATTACTGAAACTACTTGCTAATTATATCTGTGCAGCCCGCGATTCTTTCCCTGAGCCTTCCGTTGGTCCTGGGAACCCCGGCCCTAGCTATTCTTCTTGTCTTGTTCGGCGCTCCCTTTACAACCCATTTACCACATACTGCTCTATGTGCTGCTCACATGTCAATTCTTGCCGGAACTGGGCTAGTGTACGTCCACGGAACAGACGTGTCTGTTTGGCGAGAGATATGGAGTATATCTAAGGCAGTTGATACCGTATGGGGAGGGACTGTCGGTATGGCATTGGGTGCATGGCTAGGTGCCGTACCTATCCCCTTAGACTGGTAAGGACACGCTCCTAGTGAACTTTCTACGCTGATATATGCAAATATAAAAATGAATACTAATACATACTCGGTTAGGGATCGACCATGGCAAGTCTACCCAATTACAATAATCACTGGAGCTTGTGTCGGATACGTGCTCGGCTGCTGGGCTGGAAGGCTTCCCTTTCTCTATGGGAAGAGGATACAATTTAGCGAAGAGGAATCAGAAGAACCAACGCCAGAAAAGAAAGATATATAACTAAGTGTTTTTGCTGCAATGAGAACTTTCCTTCCCAGGTTTGTTGTTGTGACTTCTTGTATATGTAACACCTCACACAAACATATAATTAATTGCTAATATTCATAAAATTAAGGTACGCTAGAACGAATTCTAGGAGGTTATGTTAAACATATTTCATGAATCGCTGCTAAAAAATCAGGAGTAAATCCTACTGAAAAGAATCTCAAATGCTTCAACTGCTCTTTGCTTGCTTTAAGATGCTATCAACGACCTTCGCAATAGCCCAAATTTTCTCTTCTTCATGCTTTCGGCCAATAAGTTGCATACCGACAGGGGTCTTATCGAACAGTTCAGGGTCATCTAACCAGACAATAGTTAGCAACGTGGAATCATGTAGTTGAACTTGTGAGTTGATGAGATTCCATACATAGATCCCAGTTCGTTTTGTCGAGTTCACTAATAGGTTTATAGTTGGGGTCTGCCTTATCAATATTTTTATCCGCCTTAGTGACAGGCACTACGGAAACGCTGTAGTCCAGGAGGTTGAAGACCTCAGTGTACGCTGAAGATAAAAGAAATTCAGCATTGTGCCATGTGAATATTAGATGCGGGATCATACCTGTATGGTAATATTTGGTTGGAATAACGGCCGCCCATGGTGCCAATGGAACAATGATAGCATCAACAACTTGCCCTATAAGTGGGAAATTTATGCCAGGTAAGTATACCAGATTGAGCGAATCAGTGAATGATAAACGGGTGTATCACTTACCGTCATCCTGTGCAGTCGAGTTCCAATAATCAGCGTACGCTTCAGTGAACTCAATTCCCTGGAGATTCAGATCCTGGTATTCCAAAAGCGGCAATGGCTCTTTGCCCTCGATAATGGGTTTGATCTGTGGGATAGGCGGTTCGCCAGACAAGCTGAGCTGCTTCTTGACGTCGTTGCCGCCATCTGCTGACATGAACGCCAGCTATTATGCCACGCGTCAGTGAAAACGCTAGCCAAATGCGAATGGGGAGAACGTACATGGATCTTAATTGCAGTGCTATGGGCTGGTGGATTCCAAGGGATGACCTTATGTCCGGCTTTTTTGATTGCATCTTCGATGACATGAAGGCCTCTTGCGACGGGCGGGTGGGGAGTTACTATATCGTCCGTATAGAGGATACCAAACTTGAGTGCTTTTTTGTCACTCTTTGCAGAACCATTTGGAGCAGCCCTAGCAAGAGTTTCTTTTGCGATGTCGTCCCTCCAAGGGACACTGAAAACGGCTGGGTCCCTGAGCCAGGGTTGGGTGGAGAGCATGGATTTCATCATCAACTGGATGGAATCAGGGGAAGTTGATAGAATCCCGATGGAGGAGGAGTATGTGGTTTGCCCGGGGTTCTAGTCATCAAGATTGTCAACCAATGGATATTATGGTCCCAATTGAATATCCTCGGGAACACACGTACAGTGTTAGCCACATCTCTGTATGGCAGACGGTCATGAGTGGGCTTCAGCCCATAGACACCGCAAAACCCAGCAGGCACTCGAACAGATCCGCCTATACCAGTGATTATCAGTTTACCAAGAAGTTATAGCAGGGATCGGATAAGATGCTTCTACTGCATACCAACGTCAGTTCCAAGCCCAGCAGAGCTAGCTCCAAGTGCAAGCATCACTCCCTCTCCTATTCGAAGTTTGGTTTAGCCTGTGGAAATTGATTTGAAGACCGTGTGAACATACCTCCCGATGAACCACCGCATGATAGCTTGTTGTTCCATGGGTTTAGAACACGGCCGATGATATGGTTCTCAGTTTCTCCGATCTACACAGAGGCACAGTCAGATATGCCTTTCAACAGTATTGAGCAGCCGAAGGCATACTAGCAGCGATTGCGGAACACTTGTCTGAATGAAAGCATATGTTAGCATACATGAAAATAGACGGGCGCGTCTATACATACCTTGCAATATAGAACAGCTCCAAGCGAGAGAAGGTCGGTTACAATGGGGCTATCGAAATTATGCACTTTATCAGAGCGCTTGTCCCCCTCGAACGAATCAATCCAGCCAACATAACCCATAGTGGTATCATTTCCTTTTACATGGAATTGGTCCTTGAGACTGACGGGCAGACCATGTAGTGGTCCCATAGTCTTCCCGTGCTTTTCTACATAATCATCCAGGTACTTTGCTCTCTCAAGTGCTTGGTCAAAGAACAATTCATGGAGACATGAGGTCTATCCAGTATCAGTATTAAGCAAGGGAGAGTGTTTTATCCCGGCAACTACTCACTATCTGGTGTGCAACCGCCGCAGCTTTGCAGTACGCTTTAGTGACTTGAAGGGCCGAGTACTCCTTGCTCTTGACTTTTCTCACAATCTCGGTGCTCTCTTCACTGGTAATCTTCCTCTCTTCTTCGGTAAGAAACCTCTGAAAATAAGCACCGGCAAGCTGCCTCTGGTCCTTTGCATCCATGATCTGCTCTTCAGTGAGACGCCATTCCTCTGCGATCTTTGCTAGATTCACGGCTCGTTTAATCGCTGCTCTCTCCTCCCAGGCCTCTGGCTCTTTATCCATGCTTGACATTGTAAATTGGTAGTTGAAGAAATGGTCAAACTGAGGCTCTCTGATTTTTCGAGATGCCGGTATGTGTTAATAAAAACTGTTCAACCGGGCAATGCTAGGAACTGGTGGCTTTTATAGACCAAGGGAGGCCGAGGGGTAATGATCAGTGGCAGAGTGGGTTGTACGCCATCGACAGGGAATATGCGTATAGCTAATTGGACCCTTTAACTGCATAAGCAGCATGTGGTATTTCGTATATCGGTATAAGTCCCTACTGGGGGTGGATTACGCAAATTATAGTTGGCTTACGAGTAGCTGATGCCGTACTCAGGTTGATGTGATATTAAAACCGCTGCTAATTGTATAATTATTAAACCAACCAGGGACGATTGTTAATGTAGAGATATATGTATATATCACTTGGTCATATCGACGACACAGCGGATACAGTCGCCGGCCTTCATCTCCTCGAAGGCAGTGTTGATCTTGGGAAGAGTTTCACGGTGCGTGATGAACTCATCCACCTTCAGCTTGCCATTGAGGTAATCGTCAACGAGGTCTGGAAGCTGAGTGCGCCCTTTGATTCCTCCAAAGGCACACCCTTTCCATACACGGCCAGTAACGAGTTGGAATGCTATTTAGAACGCGTGTCAGTATGATAACATCGTACTGTCTAATTATAATCAAAGAGATAACTCACGTCGGGTAGAGATCTCCTGCCCAGCGGCTGCGACTCCAATGATGATGCTCTCTCCCCATCCCTTGTGGCATGCCTCGAGGGCGGCTCGCATAACACCAACATTGCCGGTGCAGTCAAAAGTATAGTCACATCCGCCATCAGTAGTTTCAATCAGGTATTCCTGGATTGATTTTCCGCCGAGTTTAGACGGATTGACGAAGTCCGTAGCACCGAATTTGCGTGCCCACTCCTCCTTGTTGTCGTTCACATCGACAGCAATAATTCTACTGGCTTTGTTATGGACGGCTCCCTGAATAACGGAGAGACCAACACATCCGGCACCGAACACAGCAATGTTGGAGCCTTCTTCAACCTTAGCAGTGACTGTTGCTGCTCCATATCCAGTAGTAATACCACATCCCAGAAGACAGGCTCTATCTAGTCCAATCTTATCCGTGATAGCAACAACTGATATATCGGCCACCACGGTGTACTGAGAAAAAGTAGATGTTCCCATGAAATGCAGCAGGTCCTTTCCGCGGGCTCTGAAGCGGGTGGTGCCGTCTGGCATGACGCCACGGCCTTGAGTGGCTCTGATCTTTCCGCAGAGATTCGTCTTACCTGATTTGCAGAACTTGCACTCTCTGCATTCGGGCGTGCTGTATCATGGGGGTATATGGTCAGCTTTTTAACCCTCTGTGTAGAATTGTGGTATTTGACGGAAGGGTACCGTACTATAGCGCGACAACCCTATCACCAGGTTTCACGGATGTGACGCCCTCTCCAACGGACTCAACAATACCGGCACCCTCATGGCCAAGGACAATAGGGAATGCACCTTCTGGGTCTTTTCCAGACAGGGTGTACGCATCTTGAATATGCTGTCAGCTCACCTGATCCTTTATCAACGCCCCAAAGCTGAAATAACTTTGGTCATTCAGCCTTAGGAAGACGCACCAGTATGGCAAACTCCGGTATAATGAATTTCAATTCGAACTTCGTGCGCCTTTGGAGGGTCCACCTCAATCTCTTCGATGGTCAACTCCTTCCCAGCCTCCCAGGCGACGGCGGCCTATTTCCCCAAGGTTGTTTTAGCGGGACATTCTCGTAATCAATCTTATTTTTGGGCACCACAAGCTCCAATATTTGCGTATCTCCCCATAACATCCACTTGCACTTCGATCATTGTATTAGGAGTTCGGTCGTGCGGCTTACTTGACATTTAATGGTCTATATAGTTACCAGGAATCAGTCCTAAGCCTCCATCGACGTCCAGGTAGAATAGGACGGGGATATTAGACTTACCTTTCCAACAGTGCTTGCCATTTTATCCAATGCGTCCTTTCTGATGCAAACATCAGTATATTTATATCTCTAGTGTGTGGTTGCCGGCAACTTAGGCAGATGGGGAATTGCCGGAGTTTCCCGGAGGCCCAGCACGCAGGATACTCTGCATTGCGCTCAGGAGCAGGAGCTAGAACTCACCTATGAAACCTGCCTAGAGCTGATATTCAGTAATAAAAACGACAGACTGCTGGCCGGACAGCTGAATGGTTAGTGAAGAGTTGCTTGTTCTTCGGCTTTGGATGTTTGTTTATATGAGGGGCAAGCCTGAAGCGAGTGGGGGGTTTCGCCTCATATCTTTTCGCCTCCAATCGGGGCGGAAGCTGGGGAAACAATTCGGCCGCCAGAATTTGGTAGATGCCACAGCTTGTCCAACAGTAACTAATGGACACGGCATTGTCGAATAGGGCCACCCGGTTTTGTTCTGGAGTTAAGAGAAGTTGGGCATACTTGTAAGGGAACGGGGCCGGTAGAGAGGTAGGATAAACGCCGTGAATGCCGTCCTGGTATATCATTGTAGAAGATTGAAGGATATGCAATATTGTACAGGAAACGAGCCGTTGTCGCCTTTCCAGACAGCTCGAATCAGTCATAACAAACAATAGCAAGAAACATGAAGAGAGTATATAGTAACATCCACCAAAACCTTCTCCTATACCCAACATCCAATATAACCAAGAGACTGGAACCATCGTATTGACAACAGCCGCAAGAGATCGGTGACCATAGACTTCTGTATCAAAAGTGATTCGACATTAAGTATTCGATTTCAGAGGAGGTAATCGCTTTCAAGCCACGATTATAGACGACGACACCGAGATCCATTTCCATCAACATGCGCGAAGAAACCGGCACTGTTATGACCGAAAAGGAAAGAATAACTGAAGAAAGTTGTGGGAAGCAAGAGGAGGAATCGTTTCAATTCGTTTAGCTGCTGCCAGGAAGCTTGCCAGACTGGGCCATGGCGGCATTCTGCTCCTGGAAACGAAGGGTCACTCGCTCGGATGCCTTGACGAACTTGTCAAAGCAGCGGTTGGTGCAGCCGACTTCTCTCGGGGTCAACGATTTGGTTGTGAAATCAAAGATGCAGTCCTCGAAGCAGCGTTGAACGACGTTTGAGTATGCCTGAATGCCGGGTGAGATCAGCCTTTGCCATTGAATTATCGAGACCTCAACCAAAAGAGATAGAGGCGGCGATGAATATAGAAATCAATCTTCAACTTACGTTCATGACCTCCTTCATCTGCTTCTGCTCCATGCGTTTGGCGAGCATCTGCTGCTCATTTGGGGTGAGGCTGTTTCATAGCAAATACAGCAATTGTCAGTACACTGGGCTTAAATTCTTCCACAAAGGCAGAACGAGGTACTCTTGAGGTAACGTACGAGTCCATGATGGTTTATATGAGTATCGCAGCCGTTTGATCGCTTGCTGTTGATGATGTTTTGGTTGCTCGACTTTCGACCTTCGGCTTCAACTTTTTTTTTGGCCTGGTTCCCAACATGGTTTAGCGCCACCAGGTCGGGTTAGCGTCATCAGCCTTGACTATAAATACCAAGAGATGGAAAATATGCGATGGTCAATTTCACTAGAATACACGAAGAGAGGAAGAGAGGATTATGTCTAGTTTCGCTGTCCGAACTTCCCCAGGCCCTTCATCAGCCAAGGATCTAAGACGAGCTCTCCCGCAGTTGGCCGTTCTTCCGGCAGCCAGCGCAAGATTCGACGTAGGAAACTAAGAAAACCCGGAACATCTTCGCCTTCTATACCTGGAGCTAGACTCTCAAGGGAGATATCAGGAATCGGCGTGAGGCCTCTCCATTGGCCTGCAATTGTGTTAATATGAGATATGATGAGGAATGATGAGTTGCTTACCGTGCTCGTTCCAATACATGAGGCTGGTTTGACTGCGTTCCAGGAATTCCTTTGGCGGTGGGCCCATGATTGCAACCATCTCCGCAAGATGAAGCCTATCGTCCAACAGTCCCTCTTCATTTCTAGCCTTGAAGAAGGTGCGGTCTTTAACCATATCCCAAGACTGTCAAGAATGTTGCTTTGTCAATTTCACCTGGAAAAGGAAACGGTATACTTTGCTATTCTGACTTACCACCATAGCAACACTCCAGATATCCACCCAGATATCCCACTCGTTTCGAAGAACTATTTCAGGAGCCCTTTATACATCTGGCATGATGTCCTCGCCAACGCGGGCCTCTTCTTGAAGCCGAACTTCGCCAAAATCGGTGATAATTGGCAACCTATGCGAAAAGGGAACCCGCATACTCACATAGATCGTCCGATCATCTAGGGCCTTACGAGGGCACGGCTGATATTCGGTCTCAGCCTTTTCAAAGACAGAAAAAACCGACGGATCGTTAATTCCGAGTAGCAAATTTTTGACCTGCAGATCTATATTTTCAACCGTCAGCCAGCTGAATAGTAGACTGTTGTCCCGTATGCGACGTACCAGTGTGTATAATATCAAGGCGGTGCAGATAATCCAGGCCTAATAAAATCTGACTTAGAGGGGGTTTAAGCAGTTCTAGGTCGAAAGTATTGGTGGGCCTCGTGTCAAGCACTCGATCCAGGCTCAAGCCCAATGGCTCCTGAACTAGGCAATCATGTGAGCCGGAGGGACTATCGACCGTAAAGGAGTCGTAGTGCTTGCGGCAAAAGGCCTTTCCAACATGATCATCTTTATAATTTGAGGCTTTTCTATGCTCATAAATTTTGACTTCATGGCTTCGCTCCGAGGAAACACAAGTATAACGTGTCGGGCATCCCTATCCACGCGTTAAACAAAGTAAATATACGGCTCCACAATAAAGATGGAAATGAATAGTTAATAACTAATAGCTATTGTAGTCGCACGTACTAGAAATCACGGGCAAGCCAGACAGTCGAGGAACCCCCGAATCCAACTTTTCCAACAACTTGATATCTGTCTTGAAATACTTGTCCTAACCGAACAGGATGATATTTCTCTGCTTCGTATGTTGGAGTCTCCTCCTCTATCTTTCTCGCCGTGTCAACCAATTCAAAGCCAGATGAAGGGAAGGAAAGCAGAGTCCGCAAATGCGAAGACATCATTCGACAGCTAATGGATGAACGCCCGAATGGGCGGGGGTGATTGCGTGTAGCGTATCTCGATCCAGGTAAAGACAGACGTAAATGCGGTCTAAATACCATGGCCGTCATTAATGCACGATTGAAGGTATCTCTGTCTTAGGCAGTTCAAGGTACCCAAGGAGATGTTGGAGCTGCAATTGTTTGAAGTCTTAAATAAGATTACTGCTTTTTACCACAATCGGAAGTCTTTTCCAAAGAAAACTTCCTTGCTAAACCACGCTAGTGTGACAGCAAAATCCTCTATCAAGGAACTTTATACGCCCAATACTAGCTACTAATTTGTAGGATAACGTTATGTATCTAATTAGAGTCATTACCCTTAGCGGAATAGCAGCTGGGGCTCAAGTGAGTTCGGCGCTTAACGTGGGGCTTCAGGGCAAATGCGAACCAATAGGTTCGCGTGAAAGTTTCACCAGTCGGCCTACGCGCCGGGTGGAACTTAACCGCCGCGCGTTGAAATATTAAAAGCTTAATAACAAAGACTAACCCTAAATAGAAATCTTGAAACCTTACTGGAAGCGCTGACGTCACGTGGAGCTTCAGCCGTTCGTCCTCTTTTATTATTAACTCTCGTGGGCTATGGTCAATTTGACTAGCTTTCCACTCCATCAGGCCAACCCGTATTCCTGAAAAGATTGGCCATAACTACCCCGATCCCTATGTTTTATTGAACTAAGTCTTACATGGGGTAATAGAAAAATATTGGTTCTGTCCTGGTTTCTATCCTTAGTAGGCTTAAAGTTGTGAATTTGTCCGGCATTCTTCTACCTTTGCTTTGGGGGTGGATATAAGGAAGTCCTGTCTCCCTGGTTGCAGTCTGCTGTGCTGCTCGAACAGCGCTAAGAAACCATCACGACAGCTATCCATACACGGGTATCAGAATTGGTACAGCAAAGAGGAACCGCCTTTCACATGAATGAGCGTGAATATAGCCGAAGGAAATATACATATATAAAGGGAATGTTAGATTGGGGGGGGAGGTAGAAAGCTGATCAAGAGAAGCAAGAGTTGACCTATTTTAGTACCCGCAAGAGGAATACGAAGAAGTATACGGTAAAAAGATCTAGATGTTGAGGCCGAGGGACTGGCCGCTGCCGGTTAACCGATGAGCTATTCGGAGACCACCACCTGTGTTTCGCTCGGGATATGCTGACTATAGTCTGGGTGGTGCTCGTCGCCGAATCCCAGAGCCATAGACATTATATTGACAAACGAGTTGTGATTGGGCAAGCTGAGCTTGAACGTGACGTTGGTACCGAATGGCTGTGAGTTGGGGAGGCGGGCCCCTACTCCAGGAAATATTTCGAAGTCCGAATGGACGTTCATATTCGTGGTGAGGACATGGTGGTGGCCGAAAAAAATGCAGGCCTCGGTGATCTTGCCACCATGTTCTCCTTCACACTCGACTTGGACCCTCATCAATTTGGCGGTCTTGCTCGGTGGGTTTGTGATAGGAAGGTAGATACTGCAGGTGGTATGTGATGCAAGGTGGCTAACCTTGGCCCCCATTGGGTAATAGGTGATGGTGGACTTGCCGTCACCCACAACAGCGGCTCCGCCAGTCGAAGCGTGATAGGGCAAACCGTCAGGGCAGGTAGGCATGGCTACGAGGGGTGGATGGGATTTGGTATAGAGGTGTGAATGATCTGGGACCGAAAGTGACTGGCTTGATGGAAATTGGCGCAACTGAGAGCCGTTACGGTGGGGAGCAGACTCAAGATATATATTTCTTTCTCAGGATCAGACAGGCCATACACGCCATGGCTCGGGGTGAAAGGCTGTGAAGGAGACCTTAGCGTTTCCTCGTGTTGGGGTGACTGGGTCTCGTCACATAGACGGCCTGGAGCCAGGGGGAAACTCGTCACAGTGAGATGCCTTGACAGGGTAACTAACTCAAGGTTAGGCCTTAGATATGCGTGCACTGGGATTATTGAAACTTCGCCAATCGTTAAGGCTGCTACATGCAAAGGCACCCAATCTTCAAGGGTCAAACTCCCGGGGCTGATTACAGCCTCGAGCGGAGGATGTTTCCTGAGTTAAATTAACTTCCGATTTGGCCTGCTTGCAGCTGCGGTTCTTTTTCGTCAGATATCCGTGGAGTCAGCGAGGGTCTCGCGTCTTTCCAACTAGCCGTTCCATTCCCTAAAGGCAGGTTTGTGATTCAACAGGCTGTGGTTTTGTCACCCCAATGTGGGATAGATTTTGCCATTATTTTTGAGAGTCACTTGCAACATTATCATTACAGCTATGTCTTTCCCAGGAAATATCCCACCAGACTGCTTGATTAGGAAAGATGACGGTAGACAGTTCTGGGAGGACAAAGACGGCAACGAAGATGAAATGATTGCAGCTGCTGAGGTACAGCCGGGCATGTCAGAAGTAGACCTTCAAGGCTCTCGAGAATTCCTAGCCAAGCTTGGAATTGGGTCAGACCCGGACTTGCGAACTGTCAACAGTGCCTTGGAAGGAGGAGCAGGGTATGAATAGCGGAGTACTCGCCTTCCTTTCTGCAGCGGCCACCTTGCTAATTTCTGCCCACTGGCCTGATATTGTTTTAGAATCGGAAGATTCACTGAGGGCGTGCTCTTAGAAATTGCCGAGCAGGTTGACGTGATTGAACCAGTCATTAAATTTACCGCAAGACTTCAAGGTAGGAACGGTATACGAGGCATCTTCAACGTCGGCATAGAAGAATGGCAACCCGCTCAGGATGTCAAATATGATTTGATTTGGAATCAATGGTGTCTCTGCCACCTGACAGATGAGCAATTGGTTCAGTACTTGAAGAAATGTGGCACAGTTCTTAGGGAAGGGACTGGACTCCTTATTATCAAGGAGAACCTGAGCATTCGTGGTGTTGACGTATTCAACGGCACTGACAGCACTGTTATAAGGTGGGCCAACTTATCAGAAAAATTTGAAATGATCATCTAGTCATTGATTGGAGATTCCAGAGAGGACCGCAAGTTCTCAAATTTATTCCGTCAAGCCGGCTTGCAGTTAGTGAAATCAAAACTTCAACGTGGTCTTCCTATAACGCTTTTACCAGTGAAGATGTATGCATTGAGGTCCAGTGAAACTTAAGGTAGTTAATAAGAATCCCAAAACTGTCATGCTAACTATACCCAATACTGACTTGAATAATTGAGAGTGGCACTTGGCATTGGTGGAAAGCTTAACTCAAGAACTTCGATATCTCCCTAGTTCGCGACCAGTTTGGATGATGCGAAGGGGTTCGACCTCCAATGTCTGTTGCATATTTCTCCGCTCCTTTGTCCAGCATAAGTTGCAAAATCTCCGGGGTCCCAAACCAGGCAGCTTCATGAAGCGCAGTACCTTTCCAGCCAGGCCAGATGCCGTATCCCCTCGCTTCCATGTTTGCACCAGCTTCGATCAAAAATGCGATTTCGTCATGGTTCTGCCTCATAATTGCATTAAAAAGAGACTTGTCTTTGTAACCTTGTGCTGGGTGATTTAGATGACTTGTGACCACTCGATCTGGAACATTCCATTTCTCAGCCAGAGCAAGTGCAATCTTTTTTTGTTTCTGTAGTAGGGCATAGAAAAGAGCGGTGCGCGAATGTTTATCCCGCATGCTTTGGTCTACTTCTTTCTCCCTCAAAAACTGTAGCACAAGCGACTCATTATTGCTCAGAACAGCCAGATGTAGTGGTGTGCGGCCGTCTGCGTCTGACTCCCTCCTCCCTAGTGGTTCGCATTTCTGCATGGGTGACCCTGGGTCCTCCAAAGTGGCGTCATCATCCGCCGTGGGCGTCGCGCTTGCCACTTGAGCGGACGCGCTAAGCTCGTGGAATGGTGTGGAGCTGGGCGCTTGCGCTTGCCAGGTCTCCATCATTGGCTCGTCTAGCAGATAATTTCCATCCACTTTTGGAAGCGGGAATAGCTTGCACGACTGGAATTCCAACACAAACATCTTTCCGGACTCACAGCCAATTGCTACCGTCGATTCAAATACTGCACTGCAAAGTAGATGGTGTTCAGACGGTACTCGTAGCAGGTTTTGGCCATGGCAGGTGATCCAAGTCAAATCCGGGCTCAGGCCATAGCCATACCAGATCGGTTTTCGAGTCTTGGGCTCCAATACTGAGCGGAGCGCGACACGCCCTATTTTGGTGAGCAGATAGGAGTCCGTCAGGTCAAAGGAAATACAAAGGAGCAGAGCTCCTGCCTTTATAGCAGCGGCGCACTTGCCCGTGTCGGTATCCCAGATCCTGATAGTCTCATCGGCTGAGGTAGAGGCAAGGAATTTGCCGTTATGTGAAAAAGCGACTGCGTTGACTGAATCCTTGTGGCCATGGAGAACATGGGCGCAGACTCCCGTACGAACATGCCAGAGCCGGATTGTCCTATCTGTTGATGTTGATGCAACATACTTGCTGTCATCTGAAAAGGCTACCGAGTTAACCCAACCGTCATGGCCATTCAATACCCATATGCAGTTTTCTTGCTCAGTGCTCCAAATCCTAACAGACTTGTCGCGCGATGAAGAAGCAATATACTGGCCATCATTTGCAAAAATTGCTGTCCCAACGGAATCAGTGTGGCCTTCAAATAATCGTATGCACATGCCCGTATCAACCTCCCAGACCCTAACTGTATGGTCCCCCGAAGATGACACAAGGAGGCTACCATCAGGCGAGAAATCAACTGAATTGACACAGTCCTCATGGCCTTCCAGGGTTTCCTTGCATTCGCCTGTAATGATGTCCCATATCTTGGCAGTATGGTCGCTTGAGGCTGAAGCTAGCAGCGTGTCGTATGAGAAGCATAGCCCATTGAGCATATCCTTATGAGTCCCAAGCGTATGCATATATTTCCCCGTGCTTGCGCTCCAGACCATGAGAGTCCAATCATCTGAGATCGACGCTATGTACTTGCCGTCATGGGAGAACGTTAACGAATCAACCCATTTATCGTGGGCATTAAGAACCCGCTCACTCTTGCCTATAACAGTCATGTCCCAAACCTTTATCGTTCTATCTGAGGAGCCTGATATAAGGCGCTGATCGTCCGGAGAAAAGGTCAGGCAGATCGCAGTCCAGCTATGCCCGCGAAGCGTCTGTTCGCATTTGCCGCCACTGTCCCAGATCTTAATTGTTGCATCGTTGGATGATGAGGCAAGATATTTGCCATTGTGGGAGAATGCTACAGAGTTTACCCAGTTGGAATGGCCTGGAAGTATTTTCACGCAGCTGGATGTAGCAACGTCCCAAATTCTCACGGTTTTATCACTCGATCCCGAAGCGAGATATAAACTGTCCTGTTTGAAGGCTATCGAATTAACCCAGTCGCTATGGCCTTTAAGTACTGTAATGCATCTGCAGTCCTTGGTATCCCAGATCCTGATAGTTCGATCGCTTGAGGCTGATGCAAGGTGATGGTAACCGCTTTTCCGCGAGAGTGCCAGGGCATTGACCCAGTCCTGGTGGCCTTGGAGCGTTTTGGCACAGTCACCCTTGGCAATATCCCAGATCTTGATATTTCGATCGCAGGAAGCGGAAATAAGGTATTGGTTGTCGTGGGAGAGGACTACCGATCTGACATGGTTTTCATGACCCCTAAGAGTTTGTAAACACTTGCCGGAATGTGCTCCCCAGAACCGAATTGTTTTATCACTTGAACCAGAGATAAGAAGATTATTGTCCTGGGAGAAAACTAGGGAAGTAACACAACTGCCATGACCTTTCAGAGTTTTCTCCCACTTTCCAGATACGGCATCCCAGATTTTAATAGAAAAATCGCTTGATGCCGATGCAAGATACCGGTGGTCGTGCGAGAAAACCACCGATCTAATTGTGTCACCATGGGCTTCAAGTGTCTGGAGGCATACACTCCAGCTATCTTCCATTATAGGGTATGTTTTCATCCACTTCGGTTGTTCTGTTTGAAATGACTCCTTAACGAGGCTCTTCGCGGGTATAAAGACAAGGGCTGAGGCATATGTTTGAAGTGGAGCATTCTCGATCAGAACCTGGTTGTATAGAACAAATCTTCGAGTATCTTCGACTAGAGCTAGCCAGTCTGAGTTGGGATCGAGGTCCTAGAACCATCAGTTAATCAATCCAACAGGGGTTTTACGCATTGCTGTGAATAGTTGGCTGGGGTTAACTTGATGTTTAGTCTGATGGATACTAACCTCGAGGATTTCTTCCAGCTTTTCTATGGCAATTATGCCGGCTCGCATTCGCCTAAGCAAACTTAAAGCTTCCAGCCAATAGAGCAAGAAGCCATTAAGAAATTGGTAGACAACACCATTCCGGCTCAGGCAGTCCTGGCACCGCTGTGGGTGCTTTTTGTAAGCTTCGTGGAGATGATGTGTCCAGTAGACGCAAGAGTATCGGATAGTCTTTAAAGGGTCTGGATTGGGCTTTTCCATTTGGTTAATGGCCAATCCAGGCTGAGACTGAACATAAATATCCCGCTTTAGCGTCTGCATCAAAAGCTTGAGTGATTGCAAGGAGATATTATAATGGACATCATAAATTCCAGAAGGCATGATTCTGGCGGACGCATGAGCTTGTAGATATTCCTTAGCAGATTGATGCACAAAGTAGATAGTCTCTTGGCGCGTGACCAGAAATGAACCGCATAGCTTAATGATATCTTCGAGCCACTCGGTGTAGCCCGAGATATCACCTTCAAGCTGAACTAGAGAAGGGAGCTCTGCAAATGTAATGGGCCGATATGCAATCATCGCGACAGCGAGTATGCTTTTGCAGAAGTCGAGATCATCATCATCTAACTTGAGCATTTGACCAAGCATAACTCCATACATGTCCTCTAAACCAGGAGGGAATTTATGCAACTCAGTAAGCGTATTCCATGGCTTGATACCCGATAAGCGCTGACAGACCAGGGCTACCCAGAGGAACGTTTCGTTAGCATTTTGCTTCAGGTACCTCTGAACTTCTGCTTTCACTTCAGGGCTGTATCTCTTAGCTCTTGAGAGCTGTGAAACCTTGTGATCTATGTACGTGTTAACGGCGGTAGAAATGAGTCCCTCATTTTGGTCAAGGCTGAGGTAGACTTTATGTTCAAGAGGCCCCAAGACCTCCTTAATATCGTATAGGTTGCGGCTCGAGACAATCCACTTGACGCAGTTGGAGGGTGTTGAGGACGTCTGGCATATGAGATCCAGTAATTTTCGTAAATCGGTCTGGCATTCGTCAAGTGCATCAACAATTAGGTATATTGGGTTTGTCGTCTGGATCGACAGCATGTTTCTGAAAACGTTGGAGAGAGCGAAGAAGTTATCAGGGTCAGCGAAAAGCGTTCCACCACTGAGACTGTATCTTTCCTGTAGATACTCCAAGAATGACCGGTGCTGGATAGCAAGAAGATATATTAAACCGCGGAGTACAGCTGTAGCATTGTTAAGCTGCGAATCGCTTTCCTGGAAAAAGAAGAAAGATGGAGGAATATGCTTTGCACCAGGATCACTCAGGTGGTCAATGATGCCACAGAGGAGCATAGTCTTTCCCTTGCCAGGGCTTCCGCTGATCCAAAAAACGCCGCTGGAGTGGTCGCTGCGCCATTTTTTGAAGTCCCCAAAATCGACAATCCATTCATACGATTTGGCCAGCAGGCCGCCTTTGGTGTCCATGATACGGGATTTATCATCGCGAGGGTCCGTAAGTCGTAGGTCCTTGAGAAACTCGAGGTTTTCGCCCTTGCGTTCTAAAAGTTGTCGCCGTCAACAACACTTCATGGAACTGTAGAGCTTGTAGTGAAGCGCTGTCAGTGTATAACTAAAGCTATCCTCACCTATCCGATTTTCAGTGATGTTAATTTGGTCGGCAACGTACTGCCTACCGGCAGAGGTATTGTTGTATTGAGAACCTGAGTCTGCATTGTTGTATTGATCACCCTTTTCATCCTCAATCCGTAAGGATTTGGCTGAATTTGCTAGGTCCTCGCTCGGTCTCCTTTTCAAATCCATATCGTGACCTGATACGTAAAGAAACTAGTTGTCTCCCTTTTCCTTATGGAGGCATTTTATGGAAATAGGTTACGTCCATATCTCGCCTTAGAAGGTGTCTGTAGGGAACAAAGCGAATCCGTGCTAGGTCGGATGGTGAAGCGGGAGGACGACTAATCAGGTGATGGAAGGTGCGCCCTCAGGAGTCAGCCTGTCAAACTATCAAGCTTTCGAGGTATGTAACTACCCGGCCAAATCGAGGCTTGCCAATACGAATGGGCTGCGGACGGGACGTTGGGCTCCGTTTGTTTCTGCACGGTTGTATGCGTAATGTGACATTAGTAATGAGGCTGCAGCTGCAAGCGATTCCTTTCAGCTCAGCCCCCCAATAGGGGTTGAGATATCTGATTCCCCGGAGAGGATGTCGCGTCTCAAGGCAGGAGGGAGATGGAGGGGCAAGGAGAGGAGTCCAATTGAAAGAATTATATTAGGCCCAATGTGCAAGTGTAAATGCACAGCTGGAAACATTTCAAAACCTAAGCCTGACAACACCTTCTTTTTTTCGACATAACCAAACATGAGGCCCACCAAGTTCGACGATCTGATCTCAGGCACGATTGCCTCACTGGGAGCAGCAGCTGGAGCTTATGATATTATGAGAAACGATCCTGACCTCCCCGCAACTTTTCATAAGGCAGGTCAGCATCTCGGCCATGTCCAGCAAGCACTTCAGACTATTGTAAATCTACTGAAATGGCGGGATCTTGCTGGGGATGTCATACAAATCATCCCGTCGCTCGAAGACAGCAGCAAGAAAGCCAAAGTGCTAGAGGATATACTCTCAGAGGTCGCTTCGCAGCCGGAGTCGTCCAGGAAGAGCCGTTATGTTAGCTCTGTACGCCAGCTGGGACACGAAAACACCATAGAGGCATTGCTGCTGGGAATCATGAGAAATACATGTGTTCTCGGAGAGGACGAGGCCATCAAAGCAGCGATTGACGACCAGGTCAGAGGAATGCATGGGGTAATGGCAGAGCTGTCGGCAATGGAACCATCTGTGCCTGTCGGAGGGGGAGAGTCTCGCTTCACCCACTTTGGTTCTGGCTCCCAGTTCAATAATGCAGGGTCGGGTAAACAGTTCAACAACACTGGTAGTGGTCGCCAGTATCAGGCCGAGGTCATGCACTTTAAGGATTAGCTAGCTAGCTGCGTGCGGTTATTTGAATGTGCTGGAATATGTGAAGTCGAAGCGAGGGTTTTTTCATCCTGGTACCTACTGTGCAATTGTTGCAACGAGTCTGGCGAATCCTTCATGTATGAAAGTGCAATTTTTTATAGGCAAGATAATTGGAGGTATAGGGGAACTCTCGGGCTGCATCCAGTGCTTTGTTGCTACAAGTGTACCATGTGTGGTAGAAACGATTAGGCCGTAACTATGTAGATTACAGCCAGAGAGGTATTCAGCTGTAAGACCTTGTGAGATGCATTATACTTCATTTGAACTGCAGACAATCTGAATGCTGGAGTTATTGCATGAACTCCATCTTGGCATCGCTGACTGACGTGGCAAAGGAAATATAAGCAGTTATACAATCCTGGAGCACCGCGGCTAGCATATATATAGAGATTCCCAGCTTGGTAGTAAGGACTGCAATTATACGCCTTGCTAGTTTTCGGCTTAAGGCGAATCTTGTGCAAATTATCTCTGCTCTATCGCATTCGACAATAATAAATAAAATGTCGGGTATCGAGGCCATCGGGTTAATATCCGGTATAATCAGCATAGTCGACACAGCTATCAAGCTCCACGACGCCCTCAAAAACGCTGACTGTCTTCCACGTGCGTTTCAAGAGGTTGCCTTGCGGCTTCCGGTCGTCAAGGACACTCTTACAACTGTCAAGGGCCACCTGGAAGAAAACGGCGGTGATGCAGCGACTTTCCAAGCCATCATGCCTGTCATCGAAGGCTGTAGCGATAATGCCGAAGCGCTGAAAAACATCCTTCAGGAAGTCATGGTGTCCCCTGACCACTCAAGGCTCCAGCGGTACCGTCTTGCCATACGCAGACTCGGCAAGGGGTCCCAGGTCGAGGAGCTCATGAAGACGCTCTTGGAGAACGTACAACTGCTGGCAGGAAACCGAGCCATCAAGGCAGCAACTGAAGCCCAGGTTAGCGAGGTCCTTGAAGCCATCCATGCACTGTCAGACGTGCCTCCGTCAGCGCCAGACACCCCCGGCTCCGTGTCGTTCGCTCACTACGGGACGGGCTCCCAGTTCAACAATGCGGACGGCGGGACTCAAAATAACAACACAGGCAGTGGAAGGCAATACATTGCCCACTCGATGACTTTTGGGTCGGATTAATAGGAAGAGAGCACTTATATATAGTAACAGGTTTCGTCACTGTGTGGACAATATAAATAACTTCGTGTCTTTTGATATCAAATTCCTGCGTCGTCGCCAAAACTAAGCATAGGGTGGAGCAAGGCAAAAATTTATTATTGGTGGGTTTAACTGCTTTCTATTGGCTAATTGTGGCTATTTCCGACCTTATTCACTATTAATCATCATATGATTAGCGTATATCGTTAGTCCCTTCGCACTCTCTATTTTCTTCCACCTCCATCCTCTGTACGACCTCAAGGACAGCTTCTGCTGTTAAGACAACATGTTGGGCTTTGATATCTCTCTAGACAGCCTTCTCGCTAGCTAGCTTCCAGCTGAGTTGCTCCGTACCCGGTATTATATTATACCATTTATTGAGAGGAGTATGAGACGCATCAAGGGCTGTACTAGCCACGCCCTTCGTCTTGACACGAGTGATAGATAAGGGCGTCTATCTACAAGCATTTACAAGCAATTTCCAGAAGAGGCTCGAGATCATTCGGCTTAGATATATTCTTACACACGATATACGACGAGATGTAGATCTGGGCTGGGGAAGCATATCAAACATGGTCGCTGGGACCGTCATGGCGCCTCTTTACGAAGGCTTCTTAAGCCTTTGGCCGGACCAGAGGAAGTTTCGGTACGTGTACTAGAGGACCAGGACCAGAGTCGCGGGACTTGATGGGGCAGCATGAGGCCGTGGAGGCGTCAGGATCGATACCGACTATGTAACCGAGTCGAGCCTTGTGAAGAAGATGTAGCCATATGGTGTGTGGCATCGCTAGATGAATGGAAACGCATCACCATCCAGCCTGGAGTTATCAGGCTGTGAGTGCGCAGACACATTTATTTGGCGTCCTCAGAGGCCAGTCGGCGCAGGCATCTACCTGTATGTATACTCTGTATTTGACTCTGGGCAGGGATGGCAGCCTTGTCTGGCATGTCGGCAAAAGGATCTTGTCATCCTTTCATGCGGACTGTGGTGTGGCTCGTCTGGGGAAGAGAGCTTGGATCCCACAGGAATGAGCAGAGCATACTTATGAGCACGGCCACTCCCTTGAGGTGCTGGGTGGAAGGCATGATTCGAACATCCAGTCTGCTCTGAAATCACTCCGTATACATATGTATGTATACATACGTCCGATTTGTTAGGAGATATTTGCTTTCGGGCTGATCCAGCGAGCCTTGCGCTGGTTCACGGGCGGCCCTGTAGGTTCGAATTATTCCAACTTGTCTGAACCCCTGTTCTCACAGACTTTGGCTTCTTCCCTGCCCAGCCCCTTTTCTATCCAACAGTTTATATCCTTACTGTCGTGGAGCTGACACAGCAGGGCCGTGAGCAAAGAGGACGATTTCAGTTGGAGACCGACGGTTAGTTTTACTCCGCGAAGAAGCAGCAGAGACCTTATACTGTAACCTTTAACTCGGCAGGGTACGGAGTACTTACTTAAGTACTGAAGATGCTGGATTCTGATATTCAAGGTACATGCCGGAGTAGTATGAAATCGGCCTGCACCCATGGCTGCTTTTGTTTCAGCTTTTGTCTATAGATCATATCGATCGCGACATCATGAGGGCAGACCGGAGTATCACCTCACGACCTGTGAAATTATCGTGTCCTCGGTAGGCCATAGAGTTGCCTGTGATATTGCAGCTCTCTTCCGTCTTCACTGGCCATCTCGCCTGGTGGAACAAGCTAAATGAAAGTTGATCTAGAACGTCTTGGAACAAGAGGAGGAAAGGAGCTTTTTAGCACAAGCTAACTAACCTATATTCGCGGCATGATATATGCTCGTCAAAAGGCGCCAGCAATAATACCTATGGTATACATACACAATGTGCGAACAGCATCACACCGGATCACCGTCGTCATTGCCCGGGATCGACTTCACGAGGCGCCCGAAGCATGTAGAGCAGCGAACGACTATCAATCCATCACCACCACCATCACTTGCAGTAGGACGCTTCGGGGTTACTCAATCCTCGTATCCCCCTTGGCTGCCGCTCAAAGACGCACCATGACGGTCCACTCGTGTTTCCTCCCGCTCATTCAGCGTTTCCCCCCAGATCAGCTTTCCCCAGTGCAACCTTGCAGGGGAATGATTCTATTTATTCACTCTGGCTACGCATTTGCTGACACGAAGGTTAGAAGGGAGGTACATACATAATCTGGCCTATGGGCAATGATGGGCATGTTACCGAGTAACTCTTTAAGCCTTTCCCCTTCCTTTGCCCAATTCCCATGTACGGCATAGTACATGCCTTTGGCGGCTTCTTTCTCCCGAACTTACATACATTTAACAACCGCAAGGGGTGAAGTGCCAGGCTTTTTTTCCTTTCCCCCAGATCGACCCGTCGAGGGGTGGAGAAGGACGAACGGTTGACTGTCAAATCATCCTTTATGGATATTAACCTTGCCACAAAGGAAGACCAGAATGACCAGGGCTACGAGGATACAGACGGATTCTGCTTGCTGTTAGCCTTTCTGGAATGTGTTCGGGGCATGGCAGTGGAAGAGTGGTCCATCCTTGCCATCTTTATGCACTGCCGTAACTGCCAGGGGTAAGAAAAGAAGCGTAAGAAAAGCGAGCTGACAACCATCTTCATCTGGACTAAGCGGCTGCAGAGAAGGGAGGAAAGGCATGGCATGCAACTACTGTTCCGTGCCAAACTTGTCCGCTGCTTGATTAAACGAGTTGGATTCTTAAACAGTTGCTTCGGCCGGACCAATTGTTTGCTTCATTTCCCATGTACGGAGTACCGTGGGATAGGAGGTATACGTACGGAGTTACCGTACCGCGGGATTCGCTTCCTTGTACTCTCCTCTTCGTCTGCATATGCGTGTGCGTGTGTGTGCGTCTGGCTCCGAGTGTAATGTAAGTTGGCAGTAATAATAGAAGCAATAAGAAGAGTAATAATAACTACGTGAGCCGCACAACATTCAGCTGCCTTTCCTGGTGAAGCTGGCTGCAGCGAGACTAAGCACTCATCTTCATCGACTGCCGACGGCCTACTGATTCCAGGACTGGAATGAGCGAGCTGGTCTAGAGGAAGATGGTGGATCTTGGGCGCCCAACGGCCGATGTGCCTAGTCGTGGATACCAGCTCTGGGTGACGGACGTGGTGGTTGTGATCATTGCTGGTGTCTTTGTGGTTATCCGTCTGGTCTCGAGATATCTCAGGAGCGGCATCCAGGTCGATGACTGGACTATTCTGGCAGCCCTGGTAGGTCTTTTAACATACTCTCCTTTTCAGTTTCTTCGTTTCTGCGTGCTGACCCTGTTTGAAGGTGCTGTCTGTTATGTTTTCGACGGCGCAGAATGTCGGTATGTTGCGCATAATCTGGCGTGGATGGTCTATATCAAGCTGACTGACATGTCTTCCAGCCGTTGGGTATGGATACGGCAAACACGACTGGCATATCACCGAGGAGCAAGAGCAGAAGTCTCTCAAGGTAGGCAAGACATATATCCATCATCACCAACTGAAGAGCTTCCTGCTGACGGTGTGGCAGTGGATTCTGGTCGCTCAAGTGTTATACAAGCTGGTGATCTGTCTGGCCAAGGTGTCAATCCTACTGCTGTACTTGAGGATCTTCTACGTGCACCAGTATTTCAGGCGGATATGCATCGGCCTGATCGTGTTCACCATCCTTTCGGGCATCGCCTTCATCCCGCCAACGATCTGGCAGTGCTCGCCAGTGGAGGCGTACTGGAACAGGACCATCCCGCACACCTGTCTGAGCAGTTTTCCCAACTGGCTCACGTATGCGATAATCAACATCACGACGGACGTGATACTGCTGGTTCTGCCAGTGCAGCAAATTCTGCGCCTGCAGCTGACGAAGCGAGACAAGATCGCGCTGATACTGGTGTTTATGCTGGGGTCGTTGTAAGTATGCCGATTTGAGTGTTGATAGCGCAAGACTGACTGACGGGTGCAGTGTCTGTATAACCAGCATTTACCGAGTGACTCTAGTCGCAGCATCCTCAGGAGTCAAGGACGTCACATGTAAGGATCTATATCTTCACCATAAAGACATAAAAGACATCAAACTGATAGCGGTATAGGGACAACGACGCCGATATCGAGCTGGAGCGCGGTGGAGGTCAACTCAGGCATCATCTGCGCCTGTCTACCGATGGCACGACAGACACTCTCGCACGTCTTCTCCTGCTGTCTGCCTCCACAAACAACCAAGAACTCGTCCGTCTCGCCGTCGCAGGGCTACAACAACACCAACTCGGCGCACTTCTCTCGCATCTCACGGGGCGGGAACGGAAAGCCCATCTCTGGCTCCGGCCTCCACCGCAGCAGCAGCCACCCCTGGGAGTACCATCCGCGCATCCAGGACGGGATGGTGCTGACGTCGATCCAGTCAGACAGACACCGGCACTACCTGCGTCGCTCGGACAGCGAGGAGGAGATGCTCGGACAGGATTGCTATCTGGGTAACGGCGGCGGGATAGTCAAGCGGACGGATGTGTCTATAATAGAGCACCCACGGGCAGGCTAGCGAGCGGTTTGCTGCAGTAGCTCATAAGCTATCCCCCCGGTTGCTGCTGCTGCTGTGATATATGAATCACTTTCTTCCAGCAGAGACAGACACAAAGAGAGGCAAACGGCTTCTTGCAAGGTGTACGGAGTAACCAGGCACTCCCTTATCACCCGGACGAGGACGGATGAGTAGCGGGAAGATGCATCTTAGGCTTCATTCAGGGCAAGCCAGGCAGACAAGACATTTGACCACCATCCGGGCAGACCCAGCCATCAATGACGGGAAATCAGGCCCAAGAGCGGTCCGCGAGTGGCTTCATGGTGTTCTTCCAGTCTCCATCCCCAGCTTCTCTCCATGTTCCATGCTCTAGAAGTCGAGCATGGAGGTTGAGGCTATAGCCATCCGCCAGGCAGTAACCGTCAACTAGGCAGCACCTAGGTAGTTGTCAAAGGTCGAGAGAGGAGGCCGTAGGAGGGACCGCGAGGAAGAAGCCGGCCTTCTCGAAGCAGAGATAGAAGTAATAGACCAGACCCTTTGATCATGCTGTATATCAAGTGCTGTACAATATCATCACCATCACCATCATGACCTCTGACCTCTGTCTGCTGCGTCTGCCCCTGAGCCGTAGAAACCGACCGCGTTATCCACCAGAACAACCGCTGCCCTCGCCTTCCGCTCCACCGAGTCGACCTGTCCCTGTCCCTGTCTGCCGTTTGTCTATCCTGACTCTGGCTCGCGGTTCACCTCCTGCTGCCGTTCCGTGGTTGAGCTCGACCGGCAACGGCGCCCTCGTTCGGCCCCCAAAGGCGACGCTCAGCTTATTCACAATCCCTGCTGCGTCTAGACTGACGCTGAATTCTCATCTCTCTTGTCTCTCCTGTATTTCTCTTTCTCTCTTTCTCTCTCGCTTTCGCTCCTCTTTCTCTTCGTCTACTTCTTCTTCGCCGTCGTCTCTCGTTAATCGTAACCGTCCTCGCCGCCGCGCCGCCAAAAGGACGCCCACCAGCTGCACCACCAGGAACAGGAACAGGAACAGGAACAACCAGGCCAGTCGCTCGCTCGCAAGAACTTCGCCCCCAAAAGCGGCCCAGCAAAAGACGCAGAAGAGAAAGACAAGCAAGCAGCAAGAGAAGTAAATAAGAAGACAGCTGAGGACGCCACAAGGCCAGGCCTCCGTCGCATCGTTCGTCTTCGCCCCAGGGAAGTTGGTTCCTTTTTCTCGCTGCTCTTCGACCTCTTCGTCTTTTCACCACCAGCAACCAGCAACCAGCAACCAGCGAGCAACACAGCGCCAGCGACAGCAGCAACACGACCGATGCCTGCTGCACTCTGCTAGACAGCGAAGTGAGGCCTCATCCTGTCCTTCTGTCCGTTCGCCGTCCTGTCCGCGTCTTCCTGTCCGTCGCCCTCGAGTCCCGCCGTCGTCTGCTTCCCCGGATCCCTCACTCTGGCCGCCACCCCAGGCGCGTCTCACCAGGAACAACCACCACCACCAGGCAGCAAGAAGATACAGCAACAAGATACAGCAAGAGAAGAAGAGTAAACCAATACAAATCTGTTTGTCTGTTTGCTAGCTGCTGTCTCTATCGATGGCGCACTCGCATTCACAGGCTCAGGCGCCGCAGCCTTCTGGGAGCGCGCAGGAGGCTTCCACCGCTACGACTTCCTCTGCATCTATAGCAACACCTGCGGCTGCTACCTCTGCCTCTGCCCTGCTGAACAGCAGCAGCACTGCTCACTCTCCTCCCTCAAAGAGAGACCTTGCCAGCTGGTGGAGGCAGTTCAAGAGAAGCACAAAGAAGGACACTGGTACGTCTTCTCTCTCTGCTCTGTGATAGTTTGTGTCTGGTTACTGATCTCTCTGTCTACTGCTAGCCCCCCAAGCTCCCCCTGGAATCTTTGGCATCCCCCTGAACGTGAGCATCAAGTACGCCAATGTGGCCATCTCTCTCACCGGCGATGATGGGAAGAGCTTCATCTACGGCTACGTGCCCATAGTAGTGGCAAAGTGCGGGGTCTTCTTGAAGGAGAAAGGTATGATTTACGCAGCATTTGCTTTTTCTCTCTTCTTCTTCTTTTGTATATCTATTATATCTTGATAATGGTGTTGTATGCTAATGTTAACGGCTGTAGCTACCGACGTTGAAGGGATATTCCGGTTGAGCGGCTCTGCAAAGCGCATCAAGGACCTCCAGGAGATCTTCAACTCGCCAGACCGCTTCGGAAAGGGGCTCGACTGGACAGGATACACCGTGCATGACGCTGCCAACATCCTCCGCCGCTACCTCAACCAGCTGCCAGAGCCGATTGTGCCCCTGGATTTCTACGAGCGCTTCCGGGAGCCGCTGAGACATCGACAAGGGCGCCCGGACGGGGAAGAGGCTGCCATTCTCGTCGACAAGGAACATGGCTTCGACAGGGATGCAGCAGTCGTCGCTGTATCAGCAGCTCATCAAGGAGCTTCCCGCCGCTCAACAGACAGCTGCTGATCTACATCCTCGACCTCCTCACCGTCTTCGCCTCCAAGTCGGACCTCAACCGCATGACAGCCACCAACCTGTCCGCCATCTTCCAGCCGGGTCTGCTCTCCCCACCCGTCCCACGACATGTCGCCGCAGGACTACAAGCTCAGCCAGGACGTGCTCGTCTTCCTCATCGAGAACCAGGATAACTTCCTCTTCGGCATGACTGGCACGGCAGCCGATGCCCAGACCGTCAAGAACATCCAGGGTGGGATGTACCCGTCCCCCTTGCAGAAGACCACCATCAGACGCTCAGCCTCAAACGCCAGCGGAGGCGCCGACAGCCTCAGGAAGTACGAGGCTCTGAGACGCAACATGTCTGTCTCCTCCAGGAACTCTAATGGCAACGTTACTGGGCCCAGCACTCCCAACTCAAACTCAAAGGGCGGTGGACTGCAGCGTAGCAACACCGTGCCTTCGAAGCGAGCTCCTGGCTTCTCGCCTTCGAGCACCTTCGCTCGACAGCAGGCAGCGACACCACCAGCAGCTGGCCTAGCTGCTCCTCCACCACTGCCGCCGCCACAGCTCCAGATGTCACCCGTTGTCAAGGCTGCCCCGGCAGAGGATATCACCAAGGTAGTCGAGCACCCAGAGCAGCCTCAGACTGCCGAACAACCTCAGAATGGCACTTCAACCGCTGAAGTTGCAGATGCAGCTCCCGCTGCCGAGCCTGCTCAGATGATGTCTTTGCCTGTTCGAAACATCGAGGCTGCTCTCCCCGAGCAGGAGCCTGCTAAAGTTCAAGCCCAGCAACAACCTGAAGCTGCTCCGGTACAGCCTGTGGAAGCTGCCAAACCTGAAAATCCAGCGGAGCCTGCACGCACTCTACAGCTCGCTGAGCCATTTGAATTCACCAAGCCGCCTGAACAAGCTCCAGTTCAAGCTCTAGTTCCAGTTCAGGCCCCAGTTCCAGCTCCAGTTACAGTTTCTTCTCCTTCTCCCGGTCCAGCTCCTACTACCCAGCCGGATACAGCCATTCAACCTATCCCAGTAGAGCAGCCTCAACCTGCTCAGTCCAGCTCGCCTGCTCCACCTGTGCAGCCAGCCTATCCCATCCCAAAATCCCAACGGCCAAGTCACATTGACGCGCCCCCTCCGCCGCAGCTGGACCCAGCAACACACAAGCCAGCCACTATCACACCAACCAGAGAACGCAAGCTAGCCTCCCTCTTCTCATGGACCAGTCCTCCCAGCGGCGACAAGAGAGACTCCAACAAACTAAAGAAGAAGCGACGCATCCCCGGAAGCGCCAGTGAAAGTGCCCAGAGTTCCACTGCTTCCCTCGCGCATGGCTCCCAGGCTGGCTCTGACGAAGCAGCTCCCATGAAACAGCCAGCAACCTCCCAACCAGCAGCCTCCTCCTCCTCCAACCTCGAGGACATCATAGTCGCAGATGAATCCCACGTCTCTACTCCCAAAGTTCCTAACCCGCCTGTCTCCCCTCTCCTACCAGTCCATGCTTCTTCTCCGTCCCAAAGCCAGACAAGCCTAGAAGTCAGCTCGCCCCCTCGCCAACACCACTCTCTCACTGAACGCATGCTGAGGCCTCGTTCACGCACCCCTTCTCCAAACTCTCATTCCGTAACAGACCAGTCGGACCTCGAGGAGTCGTCTAGAGGTGACAAGAGAGATAAGCGGCGCAGCTGGCGTTTCTTGACC